TAAAAAAATATTGTTGGTCCACTTCACATTTGAATATAGAAGCTCCTTACGCAAAACAATCCTGATGTGGCTATATCAATGCCAAAAAAAATTGGAGAACAAATTTATTCCAATTGCTATTTATATTTCACCAAATGCAGCCATGAGGGATGTTCAATTATTTATTGCAACATTTTTATCATCACTATCCACTGTACGTCCACAAACTCTGTTCACAAATCCTAACTGGTGAAGAAATAGATTACTGTAAGAATCCAGTAATTTCTGCAGGAGATTCTAATATAAATTTCTCAATATCAGAAGCTGAAACCTGATCAACTTGTCTTAAGGACAAATTTGGTTAGAAAATGATAAATGGAATTGCTATCTATATTTCACCAAATGCAGCCATGAGGGATGTTAAATGATTAGTTTTACATTTTTATTACCACTATCCACTGTACGTCCAAAAACTCTGTTCACCAATCGTAACTGGTGAAGAAATAGATTATTGTGAAAATCCAGTAATTTCTACAGGAGATTCTAATACGAATTTCTCGATATCAGAAGCTGAAACCTGATCAACTTGTCTTAAGGACAAATTTGGTTAGGGAATGACAATGGAAAAGAATGATCCAACAACCAAACAAATGCATGCTACCATTAATGCGGTATGATAGAACTCAAACATTTGGTATCTTACCTTGATCTAACTTTAATCATCATAATCCAATTGGAAATGTTATAGATTTGAATAGATCTTGACTCTTAAAAGATGCGATCAGTTGTAAATTGTAAATAGCAATGTTAATAAAGGTAATAGGTCTTATAACTTCTACAATGCTAAGAGACTCCTAATCAATTATATAATTTCCATTCTATTCAATGACCTCCTTTTGCCATCAATTTTTCTTTGAGCTGAACAATTTCTCGCTCTTATCAGCATAAATCCTGGTTCTAAGCAGCAAAAAACTGAACCAAGTGCAAGTGAAGGTGGTCATTTGTCATTTGTGACAGTTTCACCATTCTGCAAACTCCGAAATAAATAGTGATCAGATGTGCCAGATCAGTAATGCACCATTGCCAGACAATCTGCATTAATTGTTTCTATTTAGTAATTTCCCACAAGTTTCCAAAGTTGTACACCTTTTAAACTTGACAATTCTGGCTGATTTTTTATTATTGTGCTATTCAGTTTGTTCAATGACCTCCTTTTGTCATCTATTTTTCTTTGATCTGCACAATTTCTCACTCTTATCAGTATAAATCCTGGTTCTAAGCAGCAAAAAACTGAACCAAGTAAGTGTGTAAAGTTGGTCGTTATTTGTGTCAGTTTCACCATTCTGCAATCTACGAAATAAATAGAGATCAGATGTTGTCAGACCAGGATTGCATGGGAGATGGGGCATCATAGCCTAGCTGCAATAAGTTTCTGGTTCATTTTTTTACTGCTTTGCCCAGTAAACATTATAATTGATCTTTTGGTGGTCGTCATTTATGACAGTTTTACCATTCTGCAAACTCCGAAATAGATAGTGGTCAGATGTTGCCAGACCAGGAATGCATGGACGACTGGAAATAATTGCCAGACAACTGCCTCAATTTCCCACGAGTTGCCAAAGTTGTACACCTTTTAGATGTGACAATTCTGGTTAATTTTTTAACAGATTTATCCAGCAAACATTATAATTGATCTTTTGGTGGTCGTCATTTATGACAATTTCACCATTCCGGAAACTCCAAAATAAATCCTGATCAGATGTTGCCAGACCAGGAATGCATAAAAGGAGGAGCAGAGAATCATTACCAAGCTGCAATAATTTTCCAGGAGTTGCCAAAATTGTACACCTTTTAAACTTGACAATTCTGGCTGATTTTTTTACTGCTTTATCCAGTAAACATTATAATTGATCTTTTGGTGATCGTCATTTCTGACAGTTTCACCATTAAGCAAACTCCAAAATAGATGGTGATCAGATGTTACCAGACCAGGAATGCATGGGGGCGGGACATCATTGCCAGACAGCTGCAATAATTTTCCACGAGTTGCCAAAGTTATTTACCTTTTAAATTTGACAATTCTGGCTGATTTTTTTACTACTTTATCCAGTAAATATTATAATTGATCTTTTGGTTAATTGAAAGCAGGTTGAAAAAGATGCAATACCTTTATAATCTCATCAAACTGAGAAAATGATCTTTGTTACTATACAGGAACCACTTTCAATCACCAGTGATGATCCTTTGATCCCTAAAGAAAGAATTGAAGAAGTTTGATTCTATTTAAAGTTGATGTACCTAACAGTTTTCTTTAAATTTTCAGTAAGGAGCCGAAGCATCAAGTTGTGTACTGGATCAAAACATTTTAAATGTTTTCTAATTGTTGTTTTAGCAAAAGTTTTGAGGCTGAATGCAGTCTCCTAGCAACCCTCTCATACAGTTATCTGAAGATCATCTTCAATTAAGACTTTGATTTGGTCATCATCAACTTCAGTAGGACGACCAGAACGTTGTTCATCTTTGAAAAAAAAGATCTCCAGAACGGAATTCTTTATATCATTTCTGATATGTGCGTTCTGTTGAGCAAGAAACACCATAAACTTTATTTCTTTTTCTTTATCTTTCCACTATGTAAATAAACAACTACCCGGATGCCTAAATGACCAGAATATTCGTTTCTGCAATCTATTTAAAATTAACTTACCACAACTAATAGTTTTCATAAAAATACGCAATACTTCTACTGAAGTTACATAAATGCTGATCAATATCCCGTGACAAATGGAAAAAAAACATATCTAACATAAAGTTATACAAAAAATATTTCAACACTCACGATTAACTTCTTGGCTGTGAACCCAATATTTTATATTATATCAAATATATAAAACAATTTTTTCTTAAAATGTCTATTGTACTTACCATTGAGACGTAGAGATTAGCCCTGCACACATCGCACTCCTTGTCTTTCAGTTCTTTCACTTGAACACTATGTTCACTTTTATCACAATCACCAGCACTATCCAAAACCATCATTGACTATTTTCAAAAACTGTTCACGTTCACCACTCTCTCGTCCCACGAGCTCCTGCAGAGGCTCCAGGATCGATTTCAAGACAACGTCTTGAGCTCTTGCATCCGAAGCAATGCTCACCAGGAGTTGGTCAAGGGAGAACATTGTTGGTTCGCGACTTTCTTGGATATCCTAAGGGAAAAAATAGTTAGGGATCTGATTAGGGCGCCCTGAATTATTAATGGTTTACCTTGAAATCCTGCTGAGCCCCTTCAAGCCAGTCCGTGGTAGCGTAATAGACGCTTTCGGAGACGGCGTATCCTGTGCAGAGACTCGAAGTGTAAGCCCTAGGGCACACGAGGACAAATTCACCAGGACGTTGGACGGTTCTCGAAAGAGGAACGTTTCGAGACAACAGTTCACCTATGCCCAAAAAATTAAGTATAAAAATACAATTATTAGTATCAAAATGTTTAAAAAAACGCCATCGCCTGTATCAAATGTGTATAAATCCATTTGTTTTGTTTTTGGATAAAATAGAAAATGTCAATAAAAAAAAAGATGGAACAAATTGTGAGTTCAAAATAGAAGTATCCAGAAATATTAATCGTAGTCATTTGAGGACGTCCATTGATCAAGTGATGTTTACAAGGCGGGTTATCAAGTGAAGTATCAAGTGTATTTATTTTTTACCTCTATCCAACATTTTTTAATCAAAAATCCAAAAATTTGACATTTAATTTAGGTACAAGATATGTGGGGAAAGGGAATAATTTATAATATCATCAAGTATCACCAATGAAGATGGAGATGTCCAAAAATCCTTAAAAGCGATCACGTCATTAATGGTTGTCACCTTTGTGCATGTACTGATTACATCTATAATTTTTAACCAATGGATTAATAAAATGACTTCTAAATAGTAGAAGGTATGCTTATCAGAAAAAACAATATGGTCAACATTGGGAATGTCATGAATGTATGCAATTTAACGTTTAACAAAGTACCACAAGGTGCGGTCCTAGGACCTTACTCGTTTTACCTTGAGAATTCTATAAGTGAAATATATAAATTAGCTAATGGTGTACTAAAGTTAGGACAAAGAAAATGAACTTAGAGAAAAGGAGGCGTCCAATAATCACCTGTACAATTTTTAAGGGCTTTTGGTTGTAATTAATGGATGCCCCCTTTGAGCATTTACTGATTATATCTACTATAATTTTTTAACCAATTATCTGTTTCTTCCACACTACATTACAATTCTGATGACTTCTAAAAAGTGGAAGATATGCTTGTTAGCATGATATGAAGAATTTCTTGTCAGAAAGAAATAGGGTCAACGTTGGGGATGCCACAAGTATCCTAAGGTCCTAGGACACTTGTTATACGTTGTGTATACAACCAAGCTAAAATAGACAAACCAAAATAAAACCATATATAAATTAACGCATGGCGTACCGCAAAGTTCGGTCTTAGGATCCCTATTATACCTTGCATATACGACTAACTTGTACAAGATAAACTTAAAGGAAAGAAAGCGTCCATTAATCACATGTTCAATTTTTAAGGATTTTGGGCTACTCACTCCCCTTGGTGATATCTAGTGACATTTAAAATTACTACCCCTCCCTAGCCCAACATTACATTTATTTATAGTACCAAGAAATAATGGTAAAATTATTGTTTGTTTTTGTTTTTTATGAACTCAGGTAAATAATAAATACACATAACATCTTAACTAGACCTCCACGACCCTTTTTAAGTCTCACGTGATTGATGGACTGCTCCAAAACAGTAAGAACGAAGGCTTGTATCACCCACAAGTAAAGCATACAATTCAGTGTGTGGAGTACCACAAGACTCAATCCGAAGTCCTGACATTACTATTTCTATTACATTCTACTAACTGTATGCATGATTAATCAAACAAATGAACACAATGAAATAAGTACATGGATATATTATAAACACGATGAAAATGGTAACATGATCATATTATACCCCCTAAACAATTTTACATTGCTGTTAGATTGCATATATAAGAATGATTGTCTGACTGATAAATACAAAAAATATATAATAGAAATAAATTTGTTAAAACATTTCACTAACATTACCTGGTGGTATCATTGCAGAATCTGATGGCAGCCAAATTGTCTGTGGAAGTACTGATTGTGGTGCCAAAACCGTTAAGGCATCCCGGAAGGCATCTGATGCCCTATCTGGTATTCCATACCTAAAAGATAACAAAAATACACAAACTATAACAAAAATAGTAACAAATTGATAATTTTCTAAATAAAACTAGGTAGAAGTAGCATTTTGGCTTAAGGCAATGCATTAGAGATTGGATAAATATTAATTTGATTCGTAAAAAATCTAAAGGACAAGCATGTCTACTTGTTAACCTTTTAACCTGTCTACTTGGCTACTCAAATTAATATTTAATAAATATTAATTTGATTCGTAAAAAATCTAAAGGTCTACTTGTCTACCTGTTTACCTTTTAACCTGTCTACTTGTCTATCTGTTACCCTGTCTACCCGTTTATGTATCTACCTATCAACTTGTCTAACTGCGTACCTGCCTATCTGTCTAGCTGCCTACCTGTTTACCAATAATTCTGCTGCTAGACAAAAGATGTATCCGCACATATATACATACATACATACAACACACACATACAACCATTTTATAAAGAATGCGATCCGCAGTTTTTCCAAGGTATACCAATATATTCAGAAGGTTTGAAACGTAAAAATATATAATATATAACTTTTATAATTAAATAATAATGTTACCATATTTTATTTGCCCCAGTGTGAAGATATTCGATCCAAGGTAATCCATGAGGATCCCGATACCAGCAACATGCACTAAATAACATTCCAACATGAAGAGTTGGCACAGTCAAACCTTAAAGAAATGAAAAATACTATTTTGATACATATTATTGTATTTTATGGACAGATTCTGCCGCATAACAGACCAATGTTATGGCAAGGCTATGTTATGAAGAACTTTCCATACAAAATCATTATAAACAGTTTCTAACTATTGACAAAAGCCATGTAGTTGCTGTGCAGTCAGGCGTTTTTCTCAGCTTGTCAGATAAAAACCCTACAATATAAACCACACAAATGTCAAAAAAAAAAACAATCTTAGATAACATGGTCTTTCTGACCCAGCTTCATAAGATAACATACAAGTGACGTTGCAGTAGATGTGTAAAACTGACTGGATGCATAGCAAATACATGTCTTTTTGACTGTATTCAGTATAATTCAGTAGCATAATGCATGCAAGTTGAAGCATAACATTGCCTTGCCATAACATTGGTCTGTTTTGCAGCAGAATCGGCCCATTAAGGTCTAAATCGAATTAATTTTATAACTTACCCATAACTGGTCCCAAAGATCTCAACACTGATCCATTGTTATTTGTTAAAACCTGTCAAATATCATTAACAGTTAATTTACCAGATCAACAACAGGATTTTCTATATTTGTTCATCTATATTTTACCTTAAGGTTCCACGGATGTCTAGCAACAGGACTACTCTTGACAGGAAATCCATAACCAAAGCCTGATGAGTCAATCGAGCCAACATGCACACATATATGTTTATCTCTTCGAGACACATGCTCCCAATATTGTTTCTCAACCTGCAAAAAAAAAAAACATATGCACATATCTCTCCATTAGCTAAAAATGTCTTCATAGACCTGTATTACATGGAAAAAAGGAGGGTAAATGGCATTTAGAAGAAAATAATGATTAATCAATTAATAATAAAAGAGAAGTAAGAATAGCATTCTAGATCATCCCCCCATGAAGTACTGCCTGACGGCGGTTTCCGTGGAAACAAATGAAAAACAGAGATTTTTGACAGTATTATTAGTAGCGACTCCGACATAAGCAGCCAAAACATGTAGACCTGACATTTTTTTGGCTATACACCATTAACACGTTGACTGCAAAGGTCTTTGGACCTATATTGTTTTTCTATTCTGAAACGTTCTGTTTAAAAAATAGTTTCATTTAAACAGCAATTCAGTGGCGGTGGCGAAAAAAGTTATATGGTTCCATTTTCCATCCATAGAAATTACTAAATAGTTGGTTCTATTATACGAATAAATTGAGAGTAGATTTAAAGTAAATGTGGCACTTCCGACTGCCGCACCAGGAAGTACGGATTGGATGATTTCGACCGAAATGTGGCACTTCCTACTGCCATACCAGGAAGTACGGATTGGATGATGTCGACGCCCGCAATCAACGTATTATCTATAAATCAACTTACCTCGCTGGGTTCAGGTGCCCCATTCTTAAACCATACAGACATGGTGTTCCTTGCAATCCTGAAGAACTGACTCAGAGCCATATTTCGTCCCTTCAAAGTACACTCCCTTAAATCCCTATCAGTCTCAGAATCGAAGTCATCAATACTGTTGTTGCTCTCGGTATCGGTGTCCCTTTCCTTGTCAGGCTGGTTATCAGACTCGTACTGCTTGTAGTGTTGATTCTTTTCGTGTTGTTTTTGGCGATATAGGGTCTCCTTTCGAGTCCACTCCTGTTTCACTTCGGATAAGAGCTTCTGTCTCTCCACTGGGGGAAAAAGAAAAGTAAGGAACTGATTAAGGTACACCAAGGTTTTATTTTAGAAGGTGATGGGCCTGAAAACTGATGTAAAATTTGTTCCAATAGAATTGATATTTCTAGGTGTCAAGAATAATCAGATAAGTCTTAAAATCTATCTGGTTTCTTTCTTAATCAAATTAGCATGATTGTTCTTAGAGCAAAAGTCAATTAGATACATTGAAGTTATGACACCTACTTAACTTTTTTCTTATAATTCATATAAATTTGGGAAATTGTGTATTAGCAAGCTGGTCTGGTCTGAAATTGTGTATTAGCATGTCTGGTAATAGGTCTATATATCAAATAAATAAATAAAACGTCCAATATTCACCTGGTGACAGCGTGTCGTAGGGTAGTAAGTATTTACAATAAATATCATCCAGCTTGGTGACCCTGTCCTGTGCTGATTTGGGTATGCACATCTCTTCAGCAACCCTATGCCACTTCTTTTTTTCGATCACCTTCAAAAGAAAAAAACTAGGTGTAAGTGGAATTTTGCCTTAAGGTAATTTGCATAAACTTTCCAGAATAAGTAAATAATCAATTAGATCAATAAAATTCGATTTTTATATGATCTGCTAGTCAAACTATCTATTTGTTTAACTATCTAAGTGTTTAGCACTCTATCTGTCCACCTGTTTACCTGTCTAATAGAATACTAGTACCTGTCCATATATCTGCCTACCTGTCTACCTATCTATCTATTAGTTTACCTGCCTTGGTCTATCTTTCTGTCTGTTTACCTATTCACTTGCATACCTGTCTACATGTCTACTTATATACCACCAATACCTATCTGCCTACATGTCAACATGTCTGCCAATAATTCTATTTGTATTTAATATAATAATATTCATAAGAAATGATCAATTTTTATCATTGAATGATAGTTTTTTGAACTCGTTGATTAATTGATAAATAACAGATTTAATCAATAAGAATTAGATTTGTATATCTGCCGGTCTAAACTATCACTTCATCAGCTGTTTACCTGTCTACCCGGCATATCCGTATACTGGTACCTATATATTTGCCCACCTATAGATGTTTCTTTAAGTTTACCTAGCTATCTGCCTATCTTTCTGTCTGTTTACCTTATAACTTGTGTACCTGTCTACCTGTCTACCTGTCGACTTGCATACCTCCAATGCTTATCTTCCTACATGTCAACATGTCTACTAATAATTACATTTGTATTTTATATCATAATAATGATATGTAATGATCAATTTCGATCAACAAATGGTAGTTTTTTGAACTTTTTTTCTCATCTCCAAAACTGCTGTACTTGCTTTGGGAAAAATGTAATCAATTCTTTATTCTGCCAATACAAGTAAAATGTCTTGGTTGATCTGTGCTCACAAAATCATTGACAAAAGATTGTATCCATACACACATACATATTGTACGCATAAACATACACATCCATCCATCAATTTTTTCTAAGGTATGGCAAACTGTTCAGAAGTCTTTAAAATGGTGTCCAAAATTCTTCATTTTCGATTTTTTTGCAATGACTATAACATTACCTGAAGTTATTAAATATAGAGTTAAAAAATTAACAAATATTTTACCTCTTTGAGTCCTCCAAGATCCTGAACAGTATGATAAAGTCTTGGTAGATCGATTTCCATTCCTCCAATCTAATAAAAAAAAAATTTAATTAATATGCTCGAGTATAGGCAAACTTATAAATAAAAACAAATAAATAAAATAATAACTTCATTATAGGCAATGATATGTAATAAATAAATGCACAAGGAAAGTAGTTAATTTGGCGCACAAAACATCTAAAATATATTGAGAACTTTTTTTTTTTTTGTAATAATTTATTTTTGTTAATCAAGACTTTAATATATTAAGAACTGACATAGATTATCTACTAAAAATATTCTGTTACTTACAAAAGGTGCATGTGTCAACGTGATGCTCTGAGTTTCCAAATACTTCTTTATCGCCAATAATTCTTGAACAGAAGGTCCAAATCTGCACAAAATATTTAATAACATTATAAATACTACATCAGGTGTGTAGATTTCCACATATGTCCTTTATCTTACCTGTACATCATCCGATTAACATACTGGTTGTAAGCAGTGAACCTCATATCATCAGCCACCTTACAATCAGGTTTAAAAGAAGCAGGAGGCACAATTCTGCACAGTCCAAACTTCGAAGCAATCGGCGTGATCTGTTCAATAAATGCTATAGGATCCATAAACTGTTTCTCTGAAGGGTAAAACGTGGGAGCATCCAATATCTCACCACTGTTCACCTCTTTGGGTTCAACCTTCTTAATATCAGAACCAGGTGACACAACTCGGCGATTGATTTTAAAATCAGGTTTCTTGTCGTTCAAGTGCTTCTGGGCGTCCATTTCTTTGAGATAGGACTTGAATTGAGAGCCCTGGTTAGAGGTGAGATTTGGTGATGTATTGACAGTCTTGGGTATGTGTTTTTCATCCCTGGATAGTGGTTGTACGGTTCCAACAGGTGGAGGGTTTGATCTTCTGCTTTTGGGTAAGTCAATGGTCTTCTTGGCCATTATTAGGGAGTCTTCGCTTGGTGATAGGGCTGTCAGAGTTTCGTGGGATGTTGTTGCTAGTTGAGTTTGGTTGTTGGTGGACATTTGGGCTTTGGTTACTAGTTTGGCACGCATTATCACGCGCTGGTTGGGGCCGTCTGGACCTTCGGTGCCTAATTTGACGGCAACTCCTGTTGGAAAAAAACAACAAAATAATAATTTAACTAGATTCAAGGTCCAAAAATTCCTCATTGAAAACACAATGGTTAACATTACCAAAATCAATCATCATGATCTACAACTGATCTCTTTCAAACAGTTTTTTTAAAGCATCTTTTTAAGATTTTCGGCCTAAATATCGGTTGACGAGGATTTTACATTTATGTAGTTAATTATAAAGAAACCTTTCGGCTGATCGTCGCGTAAAACTAATCGACACAATTATTTATCGAGTTTCCCCAAATGGTTTTTGAATTTCTTAAATCGGTGCAGCCGTTTTTAGGAAAACGTCGACGAAAAGACAAATTTTATCCGACACGTACCTTTTCCAAATTCGATGGCAAACGATTTAGATTGCATTTAGATTTGAAGCATAAAATTGGCAAATCGGATTTTCTAGTAAAAACTAATGTTACTAACTATTATTACGTTATCATTTATCTCTTACCTTGAATGAGATGCTCCGAGATGTTCTCCCCAGTCTTTGAGTTCTGCAAAGGTATATAAAACAGGTGCCCCTCATTAGCCAAAGCGTAGTCAGTCTGCGTAGAAATCTCCATATTCCTAAAATCAGCCAAGTTCCCTTGAGGCAAAGTGATCTTGGTTGCTTGCTGATCGCTTTGAAAATCACACTGAACAGCAATCGAAGACTTCATATTACCCAAATCTAAATCTTTAGATGTGCCAACATCCATCACGTCGACACTGGTGTCACAAGACTTAGTCTCGACGGGTTTGGTTGAAGGAAGCACTTTTGGTGGAGTAAAGATGTCGGATGTGTCAACACTTGAATTTTTACGTTGATTTTTAGTTAATTTCGGTTTGTCTTCCGGCTCTGGTTTCTTCTTCGTGTCGAGATGTAAATTTTGTCTAAAAGGAGTCGATGTAGGAGGTCCTTGATCATCAAGACAAAAGGAGTACACGCTCGTCTCGTTATCAGGAGAGAACGCTTGCTTGTTCTTCGTCGACATATTTTTATTCGGAGTTATCTTTAACGTGTTACGTTTTTGATGAAATATCAACTTCCGCTCGTTTTTACCTTTCTCATCATCTTTTACCGCCGGTTTTTCAAAAAACTCCTTGTTTTTGATCTCGACAGTCTCCTTGAACTTCTTTATATCCAGTTCCGACATCGCCAAGTCGTCTTCCATTGGCTCGGGCTCCAGACAACTCTCGTTCAACCACTTCTCAATCTCCTCACTGGACATGTTGACTTTCCTCTTGTTGCGTTGGAGGTCAATTTTCGTGTCCACGTCACGGCTGGTTGCTGGTTTTTGGTACAACTTGTTATACAAAGGGTTTTTTAAGTCTTCGTTTTCATTCTGGGGTCGTTTGGCAATTCCAAAAACTTTTTGGGACTCCTCAAAACTCGGTACAGGATTAGTGCTGAATCCTTCGGATGCTTTGATGGTAGATTCAGCTTTCTTGCGAGCTTCCATGCACTTTTTCATTGTGGATATCTTTTTTAAGGCGTCACTGATATCAACTTGATCTTTTTTAGAACTTAAGACTGTTTCATTGTCAGATTTGCTTTTCGTGCTGATCTTTAAAGCTAAAGGCTCTTCATCGGATTCGCTAAAACTTTTCTCCACTTTTTTAGTTGTTTTTTTCGGAAACGACTTTTTTTGTTGCACCTTTTTTTTGGAGCCAACTTTTCTCTTCGTTTTTTCTTCACCTTTACTATCACTCAATCCAGTACTTTTATCCGATCTCAAATTACAACGTCTAGAACTTTTATCTATGTTGACACTATTCAACTCATACAAAGACATCTGTCCTTCAGATTCACTTGGAGTCTCGCTATTGGAATAATAATCAGTCTTGACCTCGTTTACAACCTTTTTCTCGGTCTTGATTTCCACAACACTCGGTTTAATGGTACTGCTATCACTGTAAGTACTTTTGCCACTTTTAGCGCTCTTACCACTTTTTCCAGTTTTGACATTCTGCGCTTTCAATTCATTCTCCATCTGCTCAGTTTTCCTAACGTTTGGAAGCTCTGGAAAGCTATCTAGGGAAGAGTTGTCTTCATCGAAGTTGTGGGATGTGTTCAGTCTTTGTCCAAGCAGTTCCATGTACAAAGTAGCGGCTTCTTTTGTTTTGCGGCTCGGTCTGGGGGTACGATTGCCTTTGGAGACATCAGAATCAGACACGTTTGATGAATCTAGAGCCTTGGATTTGGAGATTATTTTTTTGGTCAAGATTTTTGATTCGTCTTTAGATAAAGATTTCTTGGTGAATGCTGTATGGTTCTTAACTGGTTTTACATCATCAGGGATTGATTTGTCAAGTTCTTTTTCAACTTTTGGTTTCTTATCCAATGCTTTACTTAGTTTTTCGTCTTTGGGTTTATCAACAGTCTTTGTTGCATCTTTAGTGATTTTTACACTTTTATCCAATACCTTTTCTACAGGTTCATTTGATTTATCATCCTTACTTTTGGCGGCATCTAAACTTCTCTTGGCTTGCTTCTTGGCTTCATTTTTGGCTTTCTGCCGCTTCTTGGAGACTTTGAGTAAAGGCTCATCATCATCAGAAGAAAATTCTGATACTTCTGATTTCTTGACAACTGATTTATCATCTTTAACTGAACTTGCTTTATCCACGTCCGCTGTATTTGATTTCCTGGTACTAGGCTTGATTTTATCTTTCGATTCAGCATCTTTAACTAATTTAACAACCAACTTCTTGGGTTCTTTAACAACCTCTTTAACACTCTCAGTTACTTTACCTTTATCCTCTTTGACGTCCTCCCGCGCTCGTCTTCTAGCCACCAATTTCTTTTCAATCTGTTTTCTGACTGGTAAACTACGAGCAATTTTTTTTATCACCCTGCCCCCTCCAGTCGCCGAACTCCTCAAGCACATTCGTCTTTTTGCCAAAATTTTACTTTGTACCAAATTCTTAGGTTTCATGGCAGTCGCTTTACTTTGTAACAGTTTTGTTGGTTTAGTTTTTATTGGAGGTAAATTTGCTGGTTTTTTGACAATGGATTTAGATTTAAGATTGGTGGATGCCTGCGACGGCTTTTCGGTGATCCGTTTGGTTGCGCGTACTTTGGTCACTGGGACACATGACCTAGTTTGAACCTAGAATAATGGAAATCTAAATAAAACACTAACCGTCGGACATTTCCGAAAAAAATGGTGGAAAGATGTAATATTTTTTGGAAGTTTTATGGTAAAATATCTGGAATTACATTTGGTTCAAAGCTAACCGTGATCAATTTGGACATACGGTATTCAACTATGGAGACCAGCTTCTAAATCAAACGTGTTAAAAATCCAAAGATGCTAAAATGAATTACTTAAAGAAATTTTGAATGTCCCAAAGTACATTCCAAAATGGTTAACATCTAAAGACGACGACATGAACACAGTAAACGATGAAATATGAACACATTCCAACAATTACAAAAGCCGCCTCGAGGATCATCAAAACTCACAGGACAAGATTGAAAAGGAAATGCATGTTACATTAACATATGACAATTTAAAAAAATTTCTGACAATGGTCAGACAATTTAGTATTTTGAAAGCCATTTTTTTAATCCTACAGTTTTACTTATTGTCTATTTCAGGACAGATGTAAAAATTACTAAGTAACAAGACTTTTTTTAGGACCTTACTACCCCCAGATATGCATTTAAATAACATAAATCAAATACTTCAACATACCGAGTGGTCGCTGATCTTACTGAAAGCAACAGCCCTCAACTTAGCCATCTTCTGCTCCTGATACTTCTTCCTCAGCGCCTGCACCGTCACCCTGTGCTGTCTGGTCTTATCCATCTTGATCTGATTAGCATCCCTGACATCCTTACCAACACTTTTAACACTCTCATTACTCTTCCTGCCCCTAACTTTCCTTGATCCAACACCACTCTTCTCAGGAAACACAGAAGCCCTCTTCCTGACACCAAATGGTATAAAATTAACTGGTGGTGGTGTAGACTTAGGAGTTTCACCTCCTCCTGTGTTATTAGAACTCGTAGAAGCATTGTTATTGTTGTTGTTAACACTTGTTTCTTGATTGGGGTTTATCTCAGAACTTCCATGAGGATAATTAAGGAAGTCTAGATTAGAAGGAAGCATTGGAGTGCCTCGAAAACATAGGAATGTAAGGAAGTCTTCAGTCTTTGGTCTGTTTTGGGAAGATGATTCATCTTGGAGTTGGAAGTTTCTTGTTGATTGAGACTGCTGGGGTTTGGAAGGCTCCTCTCGGGGTGGTTGGACCAGTGGGAGAATTATTGGGGGGCACAGGGCTCCTTGGGCAAATTTTCTTTGAGCGTGGACCTTAACTCTGAAATATAAAACATGATTGATTTAGGTAAATAATTTTATGACAAGTTGGTGTTAAATTGTGCGTTTATTGTCTCTTGTAACTCTTAAACTAAAATAAACGATATGAATGAATATGAGAGTTTTCACAAGTCATATATAATTTTAACTCTTTGAATGAAAAGGTTTATAAAAGAAAATATTTGCACATACGAACATTTAAGATTAATTTAAAATGTTGTATAGTATTAATCATTTAAGGTACAATCAATTCTATTATTTTAATTTAACACTAATTTAATGCACAATGATTTATTCTATTATTTTACAACAACAATTTAAAAATGTTAAAAAAAGTTTTAAAATTTTATCTCATCTAATTTTAATGAAAATTATGTTTAGTAACAAATGTTTTCACAAACTATGCACCATTCTGACTACATCGAACAAAAAAACATATTCAACAACATAATTTCACAAACAACCATATGATATAATTAATTAAAACGTTATATAATATATATAATTTAATGTGTAATAACATTAATTTGAACTTTAAACAATATTGTTACTTTTATATCACTATCCAATTAATATTTCAAATAAGTTTTTACAATTATAAGTTACAAAACAGAAGCCTTTTAAGCTATAAGGCTCTAACTTGAACAAAAAATATTTAACTATTTGGAATGAGCTTACTTATCTCAACAAAAGTAAGTAAATAAAAAAAAGTATGTACAAATATGCAATGTAATTAACGTAAACTTTATGCTTAATCATAAATATCAGTTTTGTCTTCAAAATATGTTTCCAAAACAGAAGTCTTTACAAGTCGAGTAATATCCTCAAATGTCCTGAACAAACAAATGAATATAAACATTCATTTCAGTCATTTTTTCTTAAACAAATGTGAAATAACACTAATTTGAGCCCATAACAAAGTTAAATTGGAATAAATATCCATTTGTTACTTAAATAGGATTTTGCAATAAAAATGTTGCAAAATAGAAGTCTTATATAAAGATTCAACTGATTTGAACGAAAAATGTACAAACATATTCAACAAGTTTACTTATTTAAACAAAAAAAGCAACAAATACAAAATTTGTATGTACAAATATGCATTATAATTCGTTTAAACTTGATGCCAAATATAAATATCAGTTTTGTCTTCAAGATATATGTTCCAAAACAGAAGTCTTCACAAGTCGAGTAATGTTCTCGAGTGTCCTGGACAAACAAATAGATAAATACAATCATTTTTTCTTAAACAAATGAGAAATAACATTAATTTGCCTACAACATTGTTAAATTGATACAAATATCTATTTACTATTTAAATAAGATTTTGCAAACAAAAGTTCTGCAGTAAAAATGTTGCAAAATAGAAGCCTTATAAGGATTCGATTGGAACAAAAAATGTACAAAATTATGCAACAAGTTTACTTATTTAAACAAAGAAAAGCAAATAATATAAACTAGTATGTACAAATATGCAATATAATTAATTTAAACTTTATACCTAATCATAAATATTTGTTTTATCTTTAAACTATGTTAAAAAACAGAAGTCTTTACAAGTCGAGTAATGTTCTAAAGTGTCCTGGACAAACAAATGGATAATAACAACAATTTTGTTGCACAAATTAGTGATTACATCATTTACTTGATATTAATATCAATTTCATATTTAAAATATCTTTGAAAAAACTGCTGCAAAACAGAATTTTGTATCTACAAACATACAAAATAATAATTAATATTTTTTTATATAATATAAAATATCAGTTTTATCTTCAATATATGTTCCAAAACAGAAGTCTATACAAGTCGAGCAATGTTCTTGAGTGTCCTGGACAAACAAATGGATAAAAACACACATTTTTTTGAAGAAATGAGTTAATGCATTAATGTGTACTTTAAACTAGCATCATTAACTTGATATAAATATCTATTTAAGTTTATCCTTAAAATAATAGATAGATATTTAAAATTCGAGCAATGGTCTTGAGTGTCCTGGACAAACAAATGGATAAAAACAAACATTTTTTTAACAAATGAGTTATTACATTAATTTGTGCTTTAAACTGCATCATTGTCTTGTTATAAATATATATTTAAGTTTATCTTTAAAATAATAAATAGAGACTTAAAATATGTGTACTTAAAACTACATCATTAACTTAATACAAATATCTATCTAAGTTTATCTTTGAAATAATAAATAGATATTTAAAATATGTTCCAAAACAGAAGTCTTTAAAAGTCGAGCAATGGTCTTGAGTGTCCTGGACAAACAAATGGATAAAAACACACATTTTTTTGAACAAATGAGTGATTACATTAATTTGCACTTTAAACTAGCATCATTAACTTATTATAAATATCCATTTAATGTTTAAAATATGTTTTACAACAAAACTGTTGCAAAACAGAAGCCCTACAAAAGGCTTCTATTTGATTGCCTGATTTAAACAAAAAATATACTGAATTTAGTTTTCCTTTGATGAATAATAATATTGCATATTAAATACAACATAAATAACTCGTTGCCACAATGAGTTTAATACAAAATATTAAATAATTTTGCAAATTTATGCAAACAAATTTGGTACAAAAATGGCGTGTGAATAAACAATGGAAAACAAAATTAAATTTTGCAAATATATTACCCTTAAGCCTAAAATGTAATAATATACCACCATTAAGCATAAAATCCATTACAATTACAAATAATCATTTATCTATTTACCTTTTAGTTATTTCTGGCGAAATGTCAATTCTGTTAGCGTCTTTACGCTTTCTTTTGTTCGGCACGACCATTTCGAAATATTCTCGTCGTGCTTTTTAACGCAAATTTAACACTTCACATATTTAATTAACTATTTAATTGTCACATCGTTCAGAATTATTAATTTAGCACTAAAACTATTATTTTTATTAATCTAAAATCGGCATCTGACACAAGAGTACACAAAAGCATCCATCTTTATTTTTCATCCCTTGAGTTTTGCTAAGTTTTGCAAACTGTGGGGAAAATTGCGATACAAATTTATGGCGGAAAATGGTAATAAATAGTAATGATAAGGGATGGTATTATTAATAATCGAAATAATAATTTTTTTATAATAATGAGGTGTTATTTATAACAGTTTTTAGGTTTTTATGTTAGTTTTTGCAAGTTGAGTCATAACGTCTTTGTGAGAACTTTTGACAGTTTTGACATCTATGGATTGAAGTTAGACGCAAAAGTAACTGTCAAAAAAGGCGCTGAATTTCAAATCGATATTTTCAAAATTATGTACTACTTTATATTTAATAAAACTACACAAACAAATAAAAACGTATAATTTATTATTTATGTTAATTTTTACATCCACATTAATGCAAATATTAATTCAATATTAAAAACATAAAAATATTATATTATGATTTAATCAAATATTGCAATAATAATAGTGATTTATATGTGTAAAGAATTAAATTATTACTTTATAAATATAATATTTATATTAAATACTTTATATTTTTATTTCATATTAAATCATCATACTACGGATAATAAATTAATAAATTAAAATAATAAGTTAATAAAACTACACAAACAAATAAAAACTTATAATTCATTATTTATGTTAATTTTTACATCTACATTAATGCAAATATTAATTCAATATTAAAAACATAAAAATATTATATTATGATTTAATCAAATATTGCAATAATAATAGTGATTTATATGTATAAAGAATTAAATTATTACTTTATAAATATAATATTTATATTAAATACTTTATATTTTTATTTTATATCAAATCATCATACTACGGATATCATTTTAATGTAAATTCTATCCTTTGTAGTCTACGACCATTCTAGGACTTTTCGAAATTAATTTAAAATTTAAAACACTTTTTGTATGAATAAACTTAAAGAGTGCCCCAGAATCCATCAAAAATAGAGCATTTTATCCAATAATAATAGTGATTTATATGTATGAAAAATTAAATTATTACTTTATAAATATAATATTTATATTAAATACTTTATATTTTTGTTTTATATTAAATCATCATACTACTACGGACATCATTTTAATGTAAATTCTATCCTTTGTAGTCTAGGACCATTCTAGGACTTCTCGAAATTAATTTAAAATTTAAAACACTTTTTGTATGAATAAACTTAAAGAGTGCCCCAGAGTCCTACACAAACCTAAATAAAAACTTATAATTCTGTTTATGTTAATTTTTACATCCACATTAATGCAAATATTAAAAACAAAAATATTATATTATAATTTAATCAAATATTTCAATAATAATAGTGAATTATATTAAATACTTTATATTTTTATTTTATATTAAATCATCATTCTACGGATATCACTTTAATGTAAATTCTATCCTTTGTAGTCTAGGACCATTCTAGGACTTTTCGAAATTAATTTAAAATTTAAAACACTTTTTGTATGAATAAACTTAAATAGTGCCCCAGAGTCCTTCAAAAATAGAGCATTTTATCCAGAGCATAGATAAATAAGTATCCAGCGATTGTGTTCAAAAGTAACCTTCTTAAATGCAATAATTTCATTTAATTTCAAACTGAATTATCTTCATATTTTCTTTCTAACCCTACCACAGTCTCTTGATCTAAATTCAGTTTAGTATCTCCTTTTCGACTATTGACGCTCTAGTCTTCTAATCTATTGATATATTATCAGCAAAGCCAGTATAATTATTTTTACAGAGTTTCAAATAGCAGAAAAAAAAAACAAACAAGATAAAAAGTTATAAATTAAAAATTACTTTATATACCCAGTAACAATATATAAAGAAAACTGAATTAATCCATACCACAAAAAAATGATTGCTTTGCACATTCTATAAATATATTATATAAACATGATTTATATGATTTAATAATATCCTTTATATTTCACATATGTTAAAAATATTATTTAATGCTAATTTAAACAAATTTTTAATAATATAATCAGATATTAATTTCAATTAATTTTAAATAAAAAATATGTTAAAAATATTATTTAATGCTAATTTAAAACAAATTTTTAATAATATAATCAGATATTAATTTCATTTAATTTTAAATAAAAAATATGTTAAAAATATTATTTAATGCTAATTTAAACAAATTTTCAATAATATAATCAGATATTGATTTCATTTAATTTTAAATAAAAATTATGTTAAAAATATTATTTAATGCTAATTTAAAACAAATTTTAAAGAATATAATCAGATATTAATTTCATTTAATTTTAAATAAAAAATATGTTAAAAATATTATTTAATGCTAATTTAAACAAATTTTTAATAATATAATCAGATATTGATTTCATTTAATTTTAAATAAAAATTATGTTAAAAATATTATTTAATGCTAATTTAAAACAAATTTTAAAGAATATAATCAGATATTAATTTCATTTAATTTTAAATAAAAAATATGTTAAAAATATTATTTAATGCTAATTTAAACAAATTTTTAATAATATAATCAGATATTAATTTCAATAATTTTAAATAAAAAATATGTTAAAAATATTATTTAATACTAATTTAAACAAATTTTTAATAATATAATCAGATATTAATATCATTTAATTTTAAATAAAAAATATGTTTAAAATATTTAATGCTAATTTAAACAAATTTTTAATAATATAATCAGATATTAATATCATTTAATTTAAACAAATTTTTAATAATATAATCACAGATATTTCATTCAATTTTAAATAAAAAATGTTGGAAATATTATTTAATGCTAATTTAAACAAATTTTCAAAATAATATAATCAGATATTAATTTCATTTAATTTAAACAAATTTTTAATAATATAATCAGATATTAATTTCATTTTAGATAAAAATTTTAAATAAAAAATATGTTAGAAATATTATTTAATGCTAATTTAAACTTGAAAAATTTTTAATAATATAATCAGATATTAATTTCATTTAATTTTAAATCAAATCAAAATCATAAAAATGAGGCATAAATTCTTCTCATAAATCATTCCTGTGATTCATTATCATTACTTATATTTTCTTTATCATTACTTAAAGGACTAGCACAGGCAGATTTCCGACTTTCTTGGGTTTGGTCAACTTGAACCATGCCCATTTCAATATTTGCTAATGCTTGTCTCAGATATTTAGATGCTACTTTATTACTTATTGTTGCCAATAATTCTGATATGCATGGTGTCAGATCCAATTTCAACTGCCCTTCTGCGTTAATATCGCATAGAGATAAGGCTTTTGATAAATCCTGTCAATGGTATAAACAATATTATATCATAAGTGGATTCGCATGTATATATAATAATTATTAAATTAAATAATGTATTTAATGCTTTAATTTATTGGGTATAATTGAAATTATATATAAAAATATTGTTCTTACATAATAGTTTTTTACATACCAATTCCAGTTCTTCATTTTTGCGAATACGCTTTAAACCATCACAAAGTATTAGAGCAAGTTGGTTATGTATACATTCATTATCGTCTCTATTCGAATGTGTTAGAGCTATTACAAGCTTTAACATATTAAAACACTCAATATGTTTCAGAGGACTTGAAGAAGGTGCTTCATACCAAATCATTACAGCGGGCATGAGTGCATTAATTAAAGCATCAGGGCCACCAGCATCACCATAACCCATAGCAGAAAATAACTAATTGAAAAAAAAAATGAAATAAAATTTAAGTAATTACTATTGCATAATATAAAATTAACAATCAAAAATTTTAATTCTGTCTAAAAGGAGTTTATATTTACATGGGAAAATTACTAAAATATGCTAATTTGTGCTAATATCTTAATATTGCAAATTAACAAATGTGCTAATATTAAGAATTCTTTCAATAATATTTGAACTATTTGTTAAAAACTAAATATAATTGTCATTTTGCCTTAAGGGGTTAGGGTTACTTGGAATTTTTGAAAAATCGATTTTTATTTTTTTGCATTTTCATTAAGTGTAGTATCTTGAAAATATTCTCTGAAAATTTCAAGTTGATCCGATTATTACTTTTTGTGTTATTGGACTCTTACCAGCGCGTTGACGCAAGTGGAGAGCTCGATACTTATACTCAAGATTATTCTCCCTCACTTCCTGATGTTTTAAAAGCTTTTAAACCGATTTACGCCGATCTCAGCAACGATAATTTACTTTCAAGATGTGTACTTCGAGATTGAATCCATAATCAGAAAAAATTGAAAGCTTCAACTAACTAGTGTAAAAAAATATGCCTAAAAACTGTGAATACTAGTTTTACTATCGTACAAATTGCTGAATACATATACATAATCATTATTATTGATTATGGATACTCCAGGACCTAATTGTGGGTATAATTCCCATTGGTGTGCTGTAAAATTGGATGCTGCATATGTGAAAGTGGCAGATCAGCGCGCCAACGAGAACACTCAGGGGGCCAGAATGCTTCGCAAGCAACAGCAAATGAGAATTTTGGAAACTTGCACAATGACTAATGAACTATTATATTGCCCAGAAATAGATGACTAGGTTTAAGTAATTCAATAATTCGAATTTCTATACGTAAATCCAATGTGAAACTTTAAACGCGTTTTTCTCAAAACTATGTTTTTTGTACCGGTGACCACTGTAACTCAAAAACCGCTTAGCAAATCTTAATGAAATTTATACAGCTTTTAGAATACAAAATAAACTCAAGCCCGATCGAAGGATTTTTATTTTTTAAAAAATTTCAATTTTTTAAGACCAATTAACTGTTGATTTTTTACTCAAAAATCTAGACTTTTTTTCTGATGCTGCCATTTTGTTATTTTTTGCAAAAAAAAAAGAAAACCTTCGATCAGGCCCAGGATTATCTATTTATAAAACTATTTTTTTTTTTTATTTGATAGATTTTAGATGAATCTCTAAGGAGTTATGATGGTCACCGCTAGGACCGTTTTTTGAAACAGGTTCAACAAAAATAGCTATAATTTTGGGAATACCTATTATTTTTTTCTAAAATTTTTGTTACTTCAAGTCAAAACATTGTATTATAATGCTGTATTAATATTTTTGTAAAAAAACATCGTTTAATAAAAAAAAAATACTGAAAATTATCATGTTTTGTGCCTCCAAGTACCCCTAACCCAGTGGTTTCCAACCTTTTCTTCCTTGCGCCCCCCTTTCGAAAGAAAAAAATATTGCGCCCCCCCCCCCGTAATTTTTCTTATAATTTAATTTAAATATACTTAACTGAAATTATGTCAAATAATACACGATATTTAAAAAAAATACATACAAACAGAACTATTGATTATAAGACAAAATAATTTTAAATTTAATGGAAACAAATCATAGGCAAATAATTATCACAACATTAAAAAAAATGTAATGCGACGGATGAGCTTGTTTTTCGGCATTCATCATATATCTCAATGACAAATGGATTTCTAATCCATGGTTTCTAGTCCATGTTTGGACATATCTAGTTTTTTAAAGTAATGCGAAAATTGGTTCCTTAGACTAGTCATATGATTGGTAATAAGATTTTTACTTACTTCCATTTCATCAGTAACACAAAGATGGGAAACATGTCAAAGTTATTAGTTTTCATACTAACTGTGGATAGTTTTATTTTTTTCATAAAAGCCGTAATCTTTCTGAACAAAAGCATGAAAATCAGATCCTTGCGCCCCCTAGGGGGGCGCGCCCCACAGGTTGGAAATCGCTGCCCTAACCCCTTAAGCAAATTATAAACTCACCACATGTGTATTAGTATGGTCATATCAATATTAAAATCTGATAAATAACCTTATCAATTATTTTAATAATTGAAACTTAATACTAATACATTTCCTTCAATACATAATATAAGATAATGTTATTTGTTTACTCATTGAATGGTAAATGTGGAATTGGTATACTCACCAAAACAATATGTTGCCTAATATCATTATTTTCATACAAGTCCATTTCTGGATGGTGATACATCAACAGAAGATGAGCAACTATTTTATCAGATGTTATTTTATTGTTCAAGAACAATTTAATCAAGCCTTGAACCACTATAAGACGAGTAGAATGCACTTCACATTCTTGTAATAATTTCATAATAATCTAAAAAATATATAGCATAAAATTTTCAATTTTATTTTAAAAAGAAGCTTGGAGTATTATTGATAATGTATATACCTAAGTCTGTTTTTACACGGTAGATGTAAAATTGGTTCCAGAAGAAGCCGTGTAAAAAAAAAAACGTGTAAAAAAAGACATTGATCTTATACAAAAATGGGTGATTTGTTCCTAATCTCTAAAACCTATTAAAATTAGTGAAAAACAAGAATTTTTAAGAACAAGAATTCATGTTTATTTTATTAAATCAAATATACAATGCTTATTTTCACAAGCATAGTAATTAATGATAAAAAAAATATGCACTCTAATCTTAAAAGTAATATAAATTAAATGTATGGCAAGTTCAGGAACTAAAAAACTATGTTGTGAACGAAAAGAATAGGTTATTCAATTTTTAAGGTAAAAAATAAAATAAAATAGAATAAGTGATAATCATAAATACCAGTAAAAATTGTTTGTACGCGCTAAAGGGGAATTCACTTAAATCTGACCAGTAAATTTTATTATATGCACATAAAGGGAATTCCCCTAAATTAGTGCTATTCACATTTGCTTTGACCAGTAAAGATTGTTTGTACGCGCTAAAGGGGAATTCACTTAAATCTTTAAGCTAGTGTTCGCAAACTATCGATACTGTCGATGGTTTCAGACTTTTCTTTCATAAATACTTTTTTGTGATATGAACATACTTCGCAAAAATTAAATTTGACAAAAAAAATTTAAGTACATAAAATTTCAAATCGTGCTAAATGGAATAAAATCGTGTAAAAAAATTAAAAATATTCAATTTTCAAACCGTGTTATATCAAAACCGTGTACAAAAAGACCTTGTAAAAACAGACTTAGGTGTATACTCCTAAAATAATGAAAATAATAAAATATAGAAAAAATATATCTTACATCTATAAACGCTGCAGAAACGGATATGCCTGGTGTAGCATTTAGATTAGCTCCAGGTTGAGAACATGTCTTATCCACAATACTTCCTTCTGCTTCTTCCTATATAAAAATATGGATTCATACTTCACAACAATTTAAATATAAAACTAGTGGGGTGTATGGCATCGTGCCTTAAGGCAAATTGCTGGAACTTCCCGTACCGTAACAAAATGCTCGAGAAATACTGAATGTTTTCAAATAGATTATTATAAATATTATATAACATTGTCTAATATTTATAAGAATTATATAAACTGAATTGCAAAGTTGAAAATATTTGTTTAAAGTATATTAGAACTATAGTCAGAATTAAAAATAAAATCTGAATTATTTTCGATATACAAAAAAAAACTAAGAAACAAACAAAAAAAATGATGCAATTTTTTTCTCCAAAATCAATTATTTTTTTAGAACAAGCTGTAAGTTCTTTGAATCATTTAAATTGGACGCTTAGTTCTCTCAAAAACTGCCATTTTTTGCACATTTAGCTGTGTATCTTCGAAATGGCTGGGGCCTGCCATTGCCAAAAACTAATAATCACTCCTCCCAATCATTACTAACTGAATGTTTTTTAGATCATTCAAATCGGATGCTCCGTTCACGCAAAAACTCGATTTCTATTTTCTGCACTCTTTGCTCCGTATCACCGTAACGGTTGGACCTGCCTTTGCCAAAAACTAATCAGCTCTTCTCCCTATCAATAGGAATCGAATGTTTTTTGAACCATTCAAATCGGTTGATCCGTGCACCCGAAAACGTGACTGGAAATTTGTATCCATACATACATACACACACACACACACATCCATTTTTTCTGAGGTATGTCAAAATGTTCAGAAACCTTCAAAACGTCGAGAAATGTAAAAATTTTCAATTTCGATTTTCGGCCCATTACAATAACTTACCCTACGGGAAGTTAAAAAAAATCTTCATTATTATAGTATTTGATCAGTCATACAATATGCATGTAGAAGTATATGTATTTGATAAAAATATATGTAAGCTGTTATGTAAGTGATTATTACTTTCAGCTTTGTTTAATAATAGCATAGTTGAATAGACAGCTTATCCCTATTGTTTTCATATAAAACTTATACAGCTTATAAATAAATAAATATAAAAAACAATTTACTTGTTCTTCCAGGTCCATTAGAAATAATCTGCGCCCCCGACGTGAACTTAGATTGGTCCCTTGACTGCTATCTTCATTATTGTCTTGGACTTCAAAACTTTCGACAGAATGTGCAAGAATCATATCAAAGACGATTTTTAGTGCCACATCTGGTATCGAATGGGGTTCATTAACAGTTACTGCTGTAGCCGCACTAATAGCATCAGTATAGCTTGACATTTGATGTGTGGGTATCATTGGCGCATCCGCAAACATTTTTGTGAAGAATATTGGGAAACAGGTCCTAGCTAAGTTCAAATCGTGAATACAATAAGCTCCTGCACAACACATTGCCCAATATTCAACCTATAAGATTCAATATAAATTGTACCATATAGAATTAACAAACATTTTAATAATTTAATAATAATAATAATATATATATATATATATATATATATATGTATTAGGGTAGTCCTTAAAATGGTCATTTTCGAATTTCCTTGCTCCCAGGGGCTCAAATGGTTCCAAATAGATAAAAAACAATTCTCTAAAAGTTTTAGCTCTTGATATTAACATGTAGATAGAGCGCAATTCAATCAAAATTTTGTATGGAAATAGCATGGAAAATTTTCAATCAAAATTTTGTATGGAAATAGCATGGAAAATTTTCAAAAACTTTAAAAATGTTTTTAAATGTAATTTAACAAACAAATGAATGAATAAAACTCATTCATTTGTCGCTAAGTTATACCTAAAACATTTTTTTGAAATTTCCAAAATTTTTTGCATGCTCTTTCAATATGAAGTTTGATTGAATTGCGCTCTATCTAAACGTTAATATTAAGAGCTAAAACTTTCAGAGAATTGTTTTTTATCTATTTGGAACCATTTGAGCCCCTGGGAGCAAGGAAATTCGAAAATGACCATTTTAAGGACCACCCTAATGTATATAATAATACATATATAATATATTACATTTATAGTTTATTAACATGCTACATGTTCAAAATTCTTAAAGATTTCAACAAAGTAAATTGAAGGTGTAAAAAATATGAGACAAAAAAACGTTATTCTCAAAGAAAACAATGTAGATCAAATATTAATTTTTTAGATATATTACCTCTGAATCATTAGATGACAAGTTTGGTTGAACAACATCTTGGAACAAAATGTACATTTCTGGTGTAGGTTTATAATCACCTAAACTCAACATACTATAAAATATCATTAATACTTTTGTTAAAACTTCCGGATTATCAGTTGTAATTCTTTCTGGTTCATCAACATGACAATCTTCTAATGGAGCGATTATTATCGTACCTAGAAAAAAGAATACGAAAAATGAATACTAAGAAAAAGAATAATAAAAGAAAAAATAATATATATATATAAATATATATATATATATATATATATATATATATATATATATATTAGGGTGGTCCTTAAAATAGTCATTTTCGAATTTCCTTGCTCCCAGGGGCTCAAATGGTTCCAAATTGATAAAAAACAATTCTCTGAAAGTTTTAGCTCTTAATATTAACGTTTAGATAGGGCGCAATTCAATCAAAGTTCGTATGGAAAGAGCATGGAAAATTTTTTAAAAATTAAAAAGAAATGTTTTAGGTATAACTTAGCGACAAATGAATGATTTTTATTTATTCATTTGTTCGCTAAGTTACATCTAAAAAACATTTTTAAAATTTTTGAAAATTTTTCCATGCTATTTCCATACAAAACTTTGATTGAATTGCGCTCTATCTAAATGATAATATTAAGAGCTAAAACTTTCAGAGAATTGTTTTTTATCTATTTGGAACCATTTGAGCCCCTGGGAGCAAGGAAATTCGAAAATGATCATTTTAAGGACCACCCTAATATATATATATATATATATATATATATATATAGAATTTTATGATATGAGTGGAACGAATATTAATTGTTTAATATGAACAAAACAGCACTCAGATTTGTTTAACACAACTTTATTTTATGATTACAGACGTTTCGAGACCATGGTGTGTCTCATCTTCAGTGTAATTTCAAAAACAGTTACTTATATACTACACATTCTTTAATAATTTATTTAAATTTCATTTAATTTTTGGTATACAAAAAACACCAACTATTCCTTGCAATGCTTGACACAGTACTGTACACAGTATATATACGATAAAATTGTTTCTTGGGCATCCATCCAGTAATTTAAAAAAAAACAGTTTTATTGAAAAATGTTTTTATTTAGAGAAACATACGTTTCGGGTCTTGATTTGACCCATCTTCGAGTTATGATTTTTTTTAAAAAAAAATAGTAAAATTAAAATAAATAATATATTTTATTATAAAAAAGGTTTTTCCAAACGAACATGTTGTCAGTGACTGACTTTTTCAATAAAACTGTTTTTTTTAATTACCGGATGGATGCCCAAGAAACAATTTTATCATATTATTTCACCATCTGAAGAAAAACCTCTCGCTTTACATATATATATATATATATATATATATATATGCATGTATTATGTGGACAACTAACTAAATGCGACTACCTATCCATCAGTGTTTGAATTTTTATGATCGGTTCAGGAGTTTTGATTAAATTTTGGTCTCAAAAGATACAGAAAGACTTGAAACGTCGATGAAAAAATTAGCAAATTGTACCTGCGTGCAACTCATCCAACTGCTTCCTTACTACTGCCAATTTATCATCACATTCTTTAGCTTTTGTGTAATTTTTCTCATTTAAGGCTTCTTCTCTACATGTTTCCAATTCAATTATCTCAATTTTTAAATTAGCTTTCTTCACATCAATTTCATGAGATTTTTCCAATGATGGTGCTTGTTGCTTCATTGAAAAGTAATATATCATTAATAAAGAGGTGATAATTATAATTGTCAATCTATATATATATATATATATATATATATATATATATATAAAATATTTGTAATATTTTTGCAGCCCAACCGCCGAATTAAAAAAAAGATTAAATAACAAAATTATTTATTCCATTAATCATTTCGACACTTGATGTGTGTCGAAATGATGATAAATATAAATATATAAAAGGAGGAAATTATACATACCAAACCAGGAAAAACAGGAAACATTAATTATGATGTAAAATTGATTTAACACTAAATTTGTGTAAAATAATAGAATACTATTATATTAACAAACAAGAAATAGAAGGAGCACATATTGCCCTCCTATATTTAATGTTATTGGTAACCTAGCGTTGTGTGCACTGTTCAAGGTTAAAAGTACAGCGCAGTGTAGACAACGCACGTGTAATGAGGAGTGGGAGAGAGTTGCGAGAAAGAAAGGGGAAAGAAAAACAGAGAAGAAATATAACGAACAAAAGATTCTAAAACTGTATTGAATTACTTTTCATGAAATTAATTATTACTTTGTAACTATCATGTCAGAGATGAGAGGAATTACACCTCATTACATGTGCGATGTCTACACTGCGCTGTACTTTTAACCTTGAACAGTGCACACAATGCTATGCTACCAATAACATTAAATATAGGAGGGCAATAAGTGCTCCTCCTATTTCTTGTTTGTTAATATAATAGTATTTTATTATTTTACACAAATTTAGTATTCAATCAATTTTACATCATAATTAATGTTTCCTGTTTTTCCTGATTTGGTATGTATAATTTCCTCCTTTTATATATTTATATTTATCATCATCTGTGTATTTATGTTAAATGTTTTTTTAGATTACTGAATGATGACACACATCAAGTGTCGAAACGTTTAATGGAATAAATAATTTTGTTATTTAATCTTTTTTTTTAATTCAACAGTTGGGCTATATAATTATATATATATATATATATATATATATATATATTGAGATTAAAAGTTATTTGAGTATCATAAAAAATATATAATTAAATAAAACTAAATTAAGTAACAAACAGAAATATGTAAATCATATTTTTCATGCCATAGCATATATCATATTTGTCACAAGAATTAAAACACTTCTGTTATTTGTATCAGATTTTTATAAAGCTGAGAATGATGATACATTTGTGCTCAAAATTGGGTAAAATAATTGAATGGGTATAATGTATAATATTATAAATGTTTTACTAAAAATATTTATAAGACCATACAGAATATGCAATTTTTTTATGGGAATCATTTTGAGCACCAAATTCTATCACCAAGTTTAATATTATTATTACTATTGAATTCAAGAATTTTTCATTATTACCTTGGCTGGAACTTCAGAGGTAACAGGTACTTCATAAATGTCGTTAATCACATTTAACAATTCAGTATGCCATCCCATAAAACTCAAACAAGTTTTATGTAAAATTTTGATAATTATATTATAATGAGCTTCAATCATGTTTTTGGCATGAAGAGCATTGTGCAGTAAATAATTATTTAATTTGTGTCTTCCGACTTCATCTCCCAAGCAATCATGTAATTCAATCATTCTTAGAAATTCCAATTTACCACTAAAATTAAAATAATTTGACAGTGTGTGATTATTATTATAAATAACTAATCAATATAAAGCTTAATCTATAAAACTAAAAAGAAAACTGGTGATTAAGATAAATAATATAAAGAAGATAGGATTGTTTTTTTTTTTTTTAAATACAAAATAAAGTATAACATAAAATAAAAGAAACAGGTTTCTGTTACATTTTATATTGCAGTTCATTTTATATATAATTTCAATGATCAAATTCAATATAAAATCCAAATACACAAATGATTTTGAAGCTACAATGTACTGCACATAAGAAGTATTTTAAATTTAATTCTTGTAATAAACACTTTTTTTTTCATAACATCGTTTTCGTGATTAAAACAAGTAATTTTAAGCTCTTCAAATTGTTCAACTTACACATTATAGTCCAGCTGATCAAGTTTCTGCTCATTCGTAGGATTTTGTGGCACCATAGTAGGTTCCCAATACTCATCGTACCTACAAATAAGATCAACAAGATCTGTTAAGGTTGGTAAAATTAGATCCACGTCTGCGCCAATTTCAGAACCATTTGATATAAGATATTGAACAAAACTGCGCCAATATATCAATCTTTGAGGTGACAGCTTCTCAAGTGGTAAAATTCTGCAAAATTCATAGAGAATTAGTCACATTTATCAAACAGAAGATTAATATTTATAAAACAAGCTTGGGCTTTTTTCATTTTTGAATTAATTTAAATTTTGAATTGAAACAATATTTTGAGCAAAACATGAAACAAGCTCTCAAATTATGCTAATGAAAAATTAGTTCAAACTACCACACTGCCAGAAATACAAACTGAACTAGCTGTAAGTGGAATTCTGTCTTGAGGCAATTATGGCATCGTGCCTTAAGGCAAATTGCTGGAACTTCCCGTACCGTAACGAGATGATCGAGGAATATTAAATGTTTTCAAATAGATTATTATAAATATTGTAACATTGTCTAATATTTATAAGAATTATATAAACTGAATTGCAGAATTGAAATTATTTGTAAAGTATATTAGAACTATAGTCAGAATTAAAAATAAAATCTGAAATATTTTCGATATACAAAAAACTAAAAAAAAAAAAAAAATTGGAACAACATTTTTTTTTCCAAAATCAATTATTTTGTTAAGACAAGCAGAAAGTTCTTTGAATCATTTAAATCGGACGCTTAGTTCTCTCAAAAATTGCCATTTTTTACATATTTAGCTCCGTATCTTCAAAATGGCTGGGCCTGCCTTTGCCAAAAACTAATAAACACTTCTCCCAATTACTAATTGAATGTTTTTCAGATCATTCAAATCAGATACTCCGTTCTCTCAAAAATTCGATTTCTATTTTCTGCACTCTTTGCTCCGTATCTCCGAAACTGTTGGACCTGCCTTTGCCAAAAACTAATCAGCTCTTTTCCCTATCAATAGGAATCAAATGTTTTTTGAGCCATTCAAATCGGTTGATCCGTACGCCCGAAAACGTGGGCGAAAATTTGTATCCATACATACATACACACACACACACACACATCCATTTTTTCTGAAGTATGCCAAAATGTTCAGAAACCTTCAAAACGTCGAGAAATGTAAAAATTTTCAATTCCGATTTTCGGCCCATGACAATAACTTACCCTACGGGAAGTTAAAAATTAGTTTACATTTTGTGGGCAACATCAAAAAATAATTTGAAATTAATTGTTATGAATAATGTCATGAAAGCATGGCATGAAATATAATATTAAACAGCATATAATATATATTTAAACATACCTCTTCTCATCATCCAAGTTTAAATCATTATATAATTCTTGCAATGGTAAAAGTTTGAATAAAACATTTAAAACGTTTTCTATCACAGTATCATTCTCTTCTTTTTTCTTATCTGTTGTATCATGTCTAATAGTATCGATAAGATATACAACAGATTTATCAGACTGATTAAGCCAAGATGGTAATAGTGTTTTTTCAATAAAGTTTTTTATTTTATCAGAACTATCTTGAAAACCTCTGAAAATAAAATTGACTTGTAAATTCTAAGTTCAACTTAAAAAAAAATTCCAAGTGTGCATAATTTCATACATGAAAAGTAGCTTGTGCCTTTGGGCCAATTTAATAGATCTTAAAGGCATTTGAAGGATCCTTTCAAATGCAAGCATACGAACCCCTTCGTCAACATCCATTATTCGTGAAATTATTGCTTCTCTAGTGAATTGAGAATAACCTATGCAATAAATAAAAATATACACTACATAAGCCATAGTTTTTATCACCTAAAACAAAATATTAAACTTTGCGTTAGAAACACTTCAAATAAAGTTCAGCATATTAAAAATTAATGAAAACTTGATAAAAAAAAATTGAACAAAAAGAAAATTATATGAAACTTTTATAAAAAATATATTATACTAGCTGACCCGGCAAACGTTGTTTTGTTAAGTAAGGTATATTCTAAACAATTTCTAGAGAATAAAAAATATTAATACTTTAAGTGTATAAGGATGTGTTGTTTGAATGCTGTATACAATGAGGTATTATAAAAACAATAAACCCCATTAGTTTGTCTATATTTTGTCAATACAATCAAACTGGAAGATTTATACACTTTCTATAGAAAACATAGTATAATCCATCAAAGTCTTTTTTGGTCTTTCGACTTATTGATTACATTCCAAGTTTTTCAGATTCTTTTTGGATTCTGGATTTTGTGCGTAATTGTTAATAATACTACTGAGCTTATACAAAAATTTTCAAATTTTTGCGAGGAGAAATAGAAAATGAATTAAGTATTTCTTCTTTGACCTGCTTTTTGAAAAGTTTCATTCGATGGATTAAAGTTAATTTAATAAAAAGTATATATGTAGAGCAGGGCGAGGCACAAAGGTCCAATTTGACTTTGAGCAAATATAAAATATATTGTGAAAACCATAACAATTATATCACAACAAATAACACATATCAAACGAACAATTATCTGACTACGTTCAGTAAACTGCCATCTACTTCATCATTGTAGAAATGTGCTTTTTTGATGTCTTTTAACAAATTGTTATCTAAACTTTTTTATCCTATAGGCGGGGTAACTTGAAACGTGAAGATGGCAAAAAGGTTTAAAGCCTTTCCATAATTTTAAAGGTATTTTACAAAATAAGTACATTTTTAACTAATGCTAAAATACTAACAACGGAAGAAAATACTTTTATCATGGATTTTCAAAGATTACCGTTTATTTCCCCCATTTCAAAGATTACCGTTTTCACAACAAGGTTATAGCTGATTATACATCTTTTTTCCTCAATTTTCAAATATTGTTAAACAATGCTTAACTTTACTGATTTTTGACACATCGGTGGTGGACCTTTTTAACCCTGGACCTTCATATATTACTATCTATTCTTCGATAAATTTTGGGAAATTATAAGTGGGAAAATGTTATTCGACAAAATGTCCATTTGATCGATACCAAATTTAGGTTTTGAATTTAAATAACATAAATAAAAAATAATATAACCTAGAAAATGTTTTATAAATACCAATGAGTATATAATTATACAAATGAAATTTTTCAGAGCACCGTGTTTGAGAAGAATATACCAAAAAGTGCATTTTCATATTAACATTTCAAAAAAGTTTATATTTTGAGTCTCTAGTAACACTTGCGGTCCATTTACTAACGTTTTTGTATATAAAAAAAACTACAAACAAAATTACTTACTACAAATTTATCATAATTAAATAATATTCGCATAAAACATCCTGTTAAACGTAATTGAATAACATCTGTCAAAAACGTTTGACATTTCACGAAATTGCAACCGTCCATTGTTTTATTTAAATTACGCTTCTACAAAAATTTTCAAATTAAAAATGTAAAGTTTTTACGCGGATTTGAAATAATTTCTCACCTTTTGGACTTTCTCTGGATTGGCACGAATTTTTTAAGACTAAGACTGGCCAAATAGATTCAACCGTTTTCGAGTTTTACTTGGACATTTGAAAGAGAGCTCCATTTTTATATATAAGAATAGTAAAATATAAGAATATAGTTATTTATGTTAACTATTAACAACTTATGTTCAATATTGTACAGCAAAAATAAAAATATGAAGAAAAATACTTATGGAACAGAAAATAAAAATAGCATTGAAGTGCTATTCATTCAAAGATTCATTCAAAGATTCATGCATCTTTGACTTGTGCTAAAAATATTAACAAAAACATACCAATATTTTCTAAAACAGCTTTCCTAACAACAACTGAAGGATCACTTTTTAAATGATATTTGTATGTTTTGCATATTAAATCATCTTGATTGTGTGGATTTTGTAATCGTTTGCCAGTGTGAATTGCTTCTGCCCGTATCTAAAAAAAAAAACTATTGGTTAAATAAAAATAATATCTTTTCATAAATTAACATATACACAACATTTTCTTTTATAATATATTTTTAACTTCCCGTAGGGTAAGTTATAGTAATCGCAAAAAAATCGAAAATGAAATTTTTTATATATCTTTACGTTTCAGAGGTTTCTGAATATTTTGGCATACCTTAGAAAAAATGGATGTATGTATGTATGTATGTGTGTGTGTGTGTGTGTATGTGTGTGTGCGTGTATGTATGTGTGTGCGGATACAAATTTTCGTCGACGATTTCGGGAACACGGATGAAGCAACTTGAATAATTTAAAAAACATTCGATTCGTATTGATAAGGAGACGTGCTGATTTCTTTTTGGCGGAGGTAGGTCTAGCCGTTCCGAAGATATGGGGCAAAAAGTGCCAAAAACGGTACCTCAGTTTTTAAGAGAACGGAGCGTCCGATTTTAATAATTCAAAAAACATTTTACTTGTATTGACAAGATGAAGAATTGATCAAATTTTCATAAGGGCAGGTCTAGCGGTCTAACGAAAAAAAAATGCCATTTTGGCGGTCAAAAATGATCATTAGACATATGCACATCAAATTATCAGATATTTTATAGAAATTTTAACAACAAGTATAAATTTTGTTTACATTCCTATGGGTTCCGTACCAATGTGTACCCGTTAAACAGCGACGCGGCGCTTACGCGCTTTATATTTTATCTCTATGCAGTTAAAGCAGTACGATTGCTTTGAAAAAAAAGTTCAGATCTTCTAAAATATGTCAATATAAAAAAAAAAAATTTTTTTGTTCAATTTTTTTTTCAAAAAAAAGTAATTTTTTGTCAAATTTATAGTTTCTCAAAAATCTTATTTTGTCGAAGTAATTTTTTTTCAAAAATGTTAATCGTTTTTAAAAAAATAATAATATTTGGTACGGGAAGTTCCAGCAATTTGCCTTAAGGCACGATGCCCTAATTGCCTTAAGACAGAATTCCACTTACAGCTAGTCTAACTTTATTTCAAACCAGTGTGCTAAATATCCACTTTCAATGGAATATTGTTCATCTATATTTTTAAGTTTTAGTTTAGTTTCCAAAATATAAACTTTATAATAAAACTAGTGGGGTGGGTGGCATCGTGCCTTAAGGCAAATTGCTGGAACTTTCCGTACCGTAACAAAATGCTCGAGGAATACTGAATGTTTTCAAATAGATTATTATAAATATTGTAACATTGTCTAATATTTATAAGAATTATATAAACTGAATTGCAAAGTTGAAATTATTTGTTTAAAGTATGTTAGAATATAGTCAGAATTAAAAATAAAATCTGAATTATTTTGGATATAACAAAAAAAAAAAAAAAAAAAAAAAAAAAAAAAAAAAGAAAGAAACAAAAATTTTTTTTTCCAAATCAATTATTTTGTTAAGACTAGCAGAAAGTTCTTTGAATCATTCAAATCGGACGCTTATTTCTCTCAAAAACTGCCATTTTTTACATATTTAGCTCCGTATCTTCGAAATGGCTGGGCCTGCCTTTGCCAAAAACTTATAACCACTTCTCCCAATCATTACTAATTGAATGTTTTTTAGATCATTCAAATCGGATACTCCGTTCTCTCAAAAAGTCGATTTCTATTTTCTGCTAATAGAATAAAAGACTAGAATAAAAAACTAATCAGCTCTTTTCCCTATCGATAGAAATCGAATGTTTTTTGAACCATTCAAATCAGTTGATCCGTGCGCCCGAAAACGTGACTGAAAAAAATTGTATCCATACATACATACACACACACACATCCATTTTTTCTGAGGTATGCCAAAATGTTCAGAAACCTTCAAAACGTCGAGAAATGTAAAAATTTTGAATTTTCAGCCCATTACAATAACTTACCCTATGGGAAGTTAACATGTTACTAATATGATAAATTAATACAATTTTACTCACTTTGTTCTTAACATCCTGAGCGCGTTCTAAAACACATTTAGTTAAGCCATCAAACATTTCGTCATCTATAGATCTATCACCCATATTATTTAAATTCTATTAATAAATTGTAACGATAGTTTTCTTGTATCACTACATTCGGCACATGATATTTCCATAAGAATCGTAGCATGTTTTTCATTAACCCATGCATTTCAGCTTCTTTTCCAAAGGTAGTATAAAACATTGTTTGATGTTCTTTTCTCTATATTATTCAAAAATAATGCTATAAACTCCATAAACAATTACCTAAACAACAAAATTACAAATTGATTGCAACTCTAAAGGCTTAATAAATGATAAACATAGAAAGTATCATAAAAACCTGTGGCATGTCATCCCCGAGAGCAATGTGCTTTTTAGATAAAATAACTAATATGTTGAAAAGACGGTCTTCAGCTGTTTTGCTTGCAATTTTTTGGGTTTCTGCAAGATATTTATGATGTGTTGTATTGGACTTTGAAGCTTCCACCACAATAGCACCGAAAGCTAAATAAGTCTTATCCTTTAGTAATGTTGTTTGTTTCTTAGCAGGTCTTCTAGGGCGCTTCATGTTGTTATTTTTCACGATATTAAATTTTATACAAGATAATTGTAACTGCAACTGCTGTCAATTATTGTTTTTAATCGGGTAGCATAACGATATTTCGAATTGACGTTAAACTGAAACAATGAATTGTGGGAGTGAGCATCGCTAAACAACTAATCTGTGTCTAACAGGTTAAATCGAAAAATACAGCACGAATCTTAATTTGCAAACTCAGAAAATGAATTGCAACATTGAACTCAGTGTAAATGTCTATTATTTATTCTCTAGGGATTAAATTTTAACAATCAAATTATCGTATTGACCCACAACAAAATAGTAACGCGTTGAAGAGAAGTCATGTCAAAACGTGAACATTGCGTTTTGCATGACATGTCGCCAACATAACAATAACGCGTCGTTCTGACAGTACGAACGACGCGCGCGAAGTTTAAATTTACACTTAGAACTATGAATAATTCTGACCAAAATTTATGTTATTATTTATCATTATTGCTTGATTTTATATTTATTTAACAGTTTTAATAAATATTGTAATTAAAATAAAACTTGTGGAGTGTATGGCATCGTGCCTTAAGGCAAATTGCTGGAACTTCCCGTACGGTAACGAAATGTTCAAGGAATACTGAAAGTTTTCAAATAGATTATTGTCAAATAAATTATTTTCAAATAAATATTGTAACATTGTCTAATATTTATAAGAATTATATAAACTGAATTGCAAAGTTGGAATTATTTGTTTAAAGTATATTAGAACTATAGTCAGAATTAAAAATAAAATCTGAATTATATATAAAAAAAAAAATGATACAAAAATAATTATTTTGTTAAAACAAACTGAAAGTTTTTTGAATCATTTAAATTGGACGCTTAATTCTCTTAAAAACTGCCATTTTTTGCACATTTAGCTCTGTATCTTCGAAATGGCTGGGCTTGCCATTGCCAAAAACTAATAATCACTTCTCCCAATTATTACTAATTGAATGTTTTTTAGATCAAATCGAATGCTCCGTTCTCTCAAAAACTCGATTTCTATTTTCTGCACTCTTTGCTCTTTATCTCCGTAACTGCTGGACCTGCCTTTGCCAAAAACTAATCAGCACATCTCCTTATCAATAGGAATCGAATGTTTTTTAAACCATTCAAATCGGTTGATCCGTACGTCCGAAAACGTGGGCGAAAAATTGTATCCATACATACATACATACACACACACACATACACATCAATTTTTTCTGAGGTATGCCAAAATGTTCAGAAACCTTCAAAACGTCGAGAAATGTAAAAATTTTCAATTTCGATTTTCGGCCCATTACAATAACTTACCCTACGGAAAGTTAAAAATAAAAAAAAAATTTTAAAACAATTCCTAAACTTGTTATTTATATTTCGTACACTTTGTGCAATTTATAATTTGTCAAAAAGGCGCTTAATTTCAAATTGATATTTTTAAAATGATATATGTACTACTTTATATTTAATAAAATTATACACAAATAAATAAAAATTTATTCTTTATAATTTACGGTAATCTCTACTTTCACATAAATGTAAAAATTAATTCAACATTAAAAACAATTAAAATTATTAACAGACCTTTGTAATTTTTTAAACATATTATAATTTAATAAAATATTTTCATAACAATGGTGATTTTTATGTTTATAGAATTAAATTGTTACTTAATATATTATTATTATTAATACATATATATATTATAAATTTAGATTTATATTAAATATTCTATATTTTTAAAAAGTTCTTAAAAATTTTGTAAAAATTGTCTAATTTAATATTTAAATTTTGTATTAAAATTTGTGATGGTAAAAATCTTATTAATTTATTTTATCAATGTATTAGACAGTTTATTTATGAGTTAAATAAATATATCATATTAAATATCATTATTAAATATCATATTGTAATGGGGTAGGGTTAGAATCAATGAATGAACACAGTTTCAACACTACCGTCACTTTATTTTCGGGTATGTAGGTACAGAATACGGAAAGAACAGATATAAATATATATAGTCACTAAGTCAGTTATGCTACACGTACACAAAGAGTAAAATTAACAAAGTCAGAGTTACTTTATTACACTAAGAGTTTACACAGCTTTTTACTTAAATGCCTCCGCATTTAATTCACAAAGTTCGAAAAAATTATTTAAATGCTTCTGCATTCAAAATTACTAAGTCCAAAATTATTTAAATGCTTCTGCATTCAAAATCACTAAGTCCAAAATTATCTAAATGCTTCTGCATTTAATATCACTAGAAAAGTATTAAATGTATCTACACTTAATAACTTTTCAACCGTTTTTGTTAATCTTAACAAAATAATACTAATATCTTAAGCCAACTTGTTAAGTTTGCTGATGCAGTCAGAACAAGTTCCTTAAGGTATTAGGGCAAACGCGACTAAACACTTTTTGACAAATTTCTTAATTTTCTATGACCTTATATACTAATTGAGCTTCTCCTACTCCTGTAGTGGGGTTGATTTCTTGGCGAGGGTGGTGGTTCCTTCGTATCCTTTCGGAGGTCGTCGTCGGTTCATCTCGCCAAAATCTTCGGGGGATGAGACGGTCATTGGTCTATGATGAACTCATCTCGCTTGAGGTCATCGATAATTGGCTAAGACAAATTTCTCCTTCGGTGACGTAGAATGTGTACATATGATTATCTTTCTCACACCCTCGCTTGAGTCACAGGGCAAAGTTGCATGTATCATCGTCTTAATCTTTTATCTTTCTTTAACTTAGCTTTGCTCGTGGATTAAGGCATCTTATCGCTTGCTTACACAGATGACACGGTTTGCACAAGTTCTTCGTCCCTTTCTGTCTTTACGCCTGAGGTCTAACGGGATCGTGCGTAGTCGTAGTAGAATCTTCTATCCTTGTTGTACCTGCGCTAGTGTGTATGCTGCATCTTGCTTCCGCGTAGGACCCTATGCTCATAGTGGTATGTGTAAACTTTCTCTTTGGTGACGTCACGCGTATTCTCGTGCGTTGTTGACAAAATATTTACGTACAGCGAATTTTGTAAATAGATTACGAATATTTTGTAAATACATTTCGAATGTTTGTAAATATATTACGAAATGTTTGTTAAAATAATAATTGTTACATGACTAATATTAATTAAATATAGAATGTTGCAATATCATATATATTATATTATTAGAAAGTTCTTAAACTTCATCATATGATTCAAATTGTGTAAAAATCTTATTGATTTATTCTATCAATATCTCAGACAGTTTATTTATTAGCTAAATACATCTGGACAGTTTTTGTGATTAATATAATAATTAAATTGTTAGAACTGTTGAATAGCAAAAATTTTAAACAGTACTCAAATGCAATGCAACTAAATAAAATTGTTAAGATATCAATTATTATTTTAGGCTTTTACATTATCAATCAATAATCATATTCGTTAATAATTATTTTAAATTTCTTTTATAATGTATAAACATCAGAAAACAAAGATACAATATAATGTTTGACTACTATAATTAATAAATCTTTATCAATTTCTCTAACAATAATATTCTTTGTATTATAATATATCTAAATATAATATAAACAAATTAAAGTACAATATACACAATAAACAAGAATAAATACAATATTTATTCATAACATAATACCATATAAAACTTTGGTAAAACAATAAAATATTCAGATCAAATTATTAAACACTTATAAATATTTTAAATTATTGAAGATTGTCAATACTATATCTTCTTTATCTGATTATATTTCAATACATTATATTCTTTCTATTTATCTTCCTACAGTAAGAATATTAGTTTCATCAATTTTGTCCCTCGTAGCTTTGTAAGCCTCACGTTCTTGATCAGGATATTTGGTCGGCAAGTTGGGTGAATGAAGATTCACTTTTGCATTGTATCTAAACAGATAAAATAGTAAATAAATAAAAAATCATATACATGTAATTATTTGTGTAAATACTCTCAATATGGATAATAAAGTTGTAGTTATGGGTATATTTGTTGTATCTTTTATATTTTGTAGCATCATCATTAAAAATTGTCTGGTAAAATCAATGATAGAAAAAAAAGATGTGAAATGATTGAAATGTAATAAAAAGATTCCAATAAAGAAACCAAGAAAAAAAATGATAAAAGAGAGTGATGTGTCTATTAGATAATAAAGTTAATTATAAATAATTCAAGTATCAGTGATGTAACAAATAAATAAGCAGAGTTGTCAGTTTTGCTATTTTTTATACCTGATGCCAGCAATATCAACTTCATAATCTCCTGACAAAATGTATTCATTGCTTACTCGTTGCATGTTTCCTTCAGCATCTAAATTCATCACAAAACCTAAACAGACCTAAAACAAAGACAAAAATTCATAATATTTAATTATTTATTTATTTATACATATATATATATATATATATATATATATATATATAATTTTTTATAACATATTTCAATTTATCACCTGTTTCTTAAATGTGAATCCATACCCAGTAGTCGTAGTCATCCCACAATAAACCCCATTTCTAAATATTGGTTCACCGCCCCAACTCCAAATGTCTGTTTCGTGATCATGATCATTCAGCAACAACTGAACATACATTTTTTTCACACCTTCTTGCTTCTGTTTCAATAAGGCTTCTCTTCCAATAAAATCTACACCTTTCTAGAAAAGAAAAGGTAAGTTGAAGATAAAATTTGTTAAATGGAAGAAGTGATAAATTAATAAACCCAAGAGTATCATTAATAATAGGAGTTAGCTTCTTTTAAATTCAATATCTTAACCTTAAATAATTGCTAATAAATAGGTTAAACCATTAAAAAATAACTTCTTAGTTGACTTTAATGTGTGTTTTTAATTTAAAAAACTTAATAAGTAACTTCTTACTAATTAGTTGACTTTAAGAGTATCTGCAAGTTGTCAATTATCTTAACATAAAAATATATCATAAGTATTTTTCCTTTTTACATCAAATTTAACTCTCCAAGCTCTTCCACATTCCAATGGAGTAGTCGCAGTATCCAAATCTTGGCCCCAAAAAGCATAAAACTTCTCAATACGAAGTGCTCTCATTGCATAATAACCTGCATGTCTCAAACCATATTTTTGACCGGCTGTTATTAGTTCACTGTACACGTGCAGAGCAAACTGAAAATAAAAAAAACATAAGATACTAAGTAATTATACAGACTTTTATTATTTTACTTAAAATAATATTAATATTTTTATATATAATAATATGATTTCAGGGTCTTGTCTAGTGGGGTTTGTTATATACCTAATTTTGTAAGTTTTGATACTTCTCCATGGCTATTTTGGTTTCTTTATTTTCAAATATGTTAAAATTATATTTTTGAATATGGGATAATATGGATTTAACTATTATACAATATTATAATTGCAATGTTATATTATTCATAGATGCTCTCTTTATAACTTTCTTTCTCTATCTCTCTATCTACCACTCATCTCGTTTCTCTCTCTTAATCTAATATATCGATAGATACATCGATCTTTATCCACCTCTTTTTTTCCCTATCAAACTATCTATCTATTTATAAATTGTTTCTTCTTTCTGTTTCATACTAAGTAAAGTATTTATTTTTCTACTATTATCACATCCATTTTTTACTGCTTTGTCTAGAAAGAAACTAAAATAAAACTAGTGGGGTGTATGGCAATGTTCGAGGAATACTCAATGTTTTCAAATAGATTATCATAAATATTGTAACATTATTGTAATTATTTTCGATATACAAAAAAACTAAAAAAAAAAAAAAAAAATCATACAAATTTTTTTTTCCAAAATCAATTATTTTCTTAAGACAAGCAGAAAGTTCTATGAATCATTTAAATCGGACGCTTAGTTCTCTCAAAAACTGCCATTTTTTACATATTTAGCTCCGTATCTTCGAAATGGCTGGATCTGCCTTTGCCAAAAATTAATAAACACTTCTCCCAATCATTACTAATTGAATGTTTTTTAGATCATTCAAATCGGATATTCCGTTCTCTCAAAAAGTCGATTTCTATTTTCTGCACTTGTTGCTCCGTATCTCCGAAACGGCTGGACCTGCCTTCGCCAAAAACTAATCAGCTCTTTTCCCTATCAATAGGAATCGAATGTTTTTTGAACCATTCAAATCGGTTGATCCGTGCGCCCTAAAACGTGACTGGAAATTTGTATCCATACATACATACACACACACATCCATTTTTTCTGAAGTATGCCAAAACGTTCAGAAACCTTCAAAACGTCGAGAAATGTAAAAATTTTCAATTCCGATTTTCGGCCCATTACAATAACTTACCCTACAGGAAGTTAATATGAGTTTATTTCATCCTATTTTCATTTTCAAATTCAAAGTTTCACTTCTTCATTACTATTATTATTTTTATTATTATTATTATTTACCTCATTGGGTATATATAAAACATATCCCAATTCTCCGGTATGTGTCAAATTCATAGCCCTGATTCCATTGGCCAAACCGACATCCAGTTGTTTAAAAGTAAAGAAAGGAAAATTCTTAGGACTCAAATCAGTATCTGTTAACTCAGACAGTAAAATCCTGGTAAAAGGACCCATTATGCATATTGCCGTGTAGGCTGATGTCACATCAGAAATTGCTACGGAGCCATCGGATGGTAAGTGTCTTTGGATCCAGGTTTTGCACCTTGTTTGTTGGATAGTTGGAGCAATCATCATATAACTAGAGATAAAAGAAATTTTAAATTATATTAATAATAAATAGATAGAGAAACAAAGAGGTAGATAGACTGATAAATAGGGGAGAAAATGTGATTGAGATAATTATTTAAAAAGAGATATATAGAAAAAAAAAAGAATATTCATAGACAGATAGAGAGAGATGGAGAAGAAGTTCCATTTCCATTTTCACTTACTGGTTTTCTGCAAGTCGAGCCAAAGAGCAATCATTCTCATAACCACCTTGCCGGTTCTGCATACCTGTATGAATGATGCTGCCAATTGGTACATTTACATCGTTGGAACACAAGTATTGAAGAGTGTCCACTACTTCTGTACCTTTTGACTGGAAATAGAAACATAAAACTTAAGGCAACTTGCATGAACTACTTTTGTACCTTTTAACTGAAAATAGAAACATAAAACTTAAGGCAACTTGTATGAACTACTTCTGTATCTTTTTTACTGCAAATAGAAACATAAATTTTAAGGCAACTTGCATGAACTACTTCTTTACCTTTTGACTGAAAATAGAAACATAAAACTTAAGGCAACTTCGAAATATTTTAATAATCCAAGAAAACATGAGTGATGTTCCAATAACAGGACTTGTCTCAGAACTTATAATAGCAATTTAAGTTAAAAATTCCACAAACTTTCACAAAATTCTAAAAAAAGAACATGACTGCTTACCATGTTGTCCAAACCTAACAGAACGCTTTCCCATACATATTTCCTTAGGCTTGGATAAGTATGGTAAGCGTTACTACAATATTTTTTGGTAAAAATGCAATTAATGAGTTTTATTGTTATGAACAAAGTGCATTGTTAAAAATTAATGGGGCAATTCTGCCTCATAACATAGTTTTTTCATTATAATGCTATCTTATGCTTGTTTATTGGTAGTAAAAAGTCTATTTAGAGAAATAGATAGATATAGAAAAGGAGATACGAGTTAAATTGATAGTTGGAAAGAAAAGATAGATAAATATGATCTATTTATAAACAAGCAAGAAAGAATCTTATGATAACTGCATCATCGAAGATTCTGTCTGCCAATAAATAAGCATAAGATAGCGTTGCCATGTCAACGCTATGTGATGAGGCAGAATTGCCTCATAAGTCCAAGTGACTTAAGACAGAAATGTAAATAATATTAGAATAAAATAATTAAATTAAAATAATGTTAGAAACATATAAAAATTATCCATTTTTGCACAAATTTGCCAAATAGTTGACTTAGTGCAAAGTTGCAAAAAATACTATGGCTTCTTAGACACTCGGCAAATTCTAAATATAAATTCTTTAATGATTTTTTATAATTAAACCACTTTTCCCAAGCCTATAATATTTGAGGATTTTTGTTAAACTACATCATACACTATCACTATGCAAAGTTTTATTAAAGTTGTAAAAACGGCCCAGCCGATCTTTACTAAAAGCAAATTTCCAACCAGTATTCGGAAGAATTGGAACATACAGCTTTTGGATTTTCAAAATCGAATTCTGAACTTTTGGAAAAAATTTGGACGAAACATTTTTCATTTATCTGGCAAATACAAAGAAACCGCTCATCCAATCATCGTGTAAAACTAATCTAGTTCATCAAATTGCTTAAAGATCTTTGGAATCGGTTCAGTCGGTTTCGAAAAGATGACCACAAAGGTTCAATTTTTGTCTTACACACATACTTTTTTCAATTTCGGTGTCAAACGATTCAGAATGACTTGAAATACAGAATTAGAAAATCAGATTTTTTGGCAAAAATAATCTTCTTCTTCCAGAAGTTTATTACATAATTAATATAATCTTAAAATTATTAATCAATTTTTAATTCTACATAATAGTATAAACCCTTTCCACTCGCAAATTCTGGAATTAATATGTATTTCGGCGGTATCCGAGTGGAAAGGGTTATTAATTTTAAAGGTTTATGTAAATATTCAATAAAACTATCATATTCCGCAACATGGACATCTTGACTTTACTGAGCACAATCCTGAAAAGAAAAAGAAACTAGATCGGACCCATTTGTAAAAAGAGTGTCTACTACACGACGTCGTCGAAGGCAAAATAGAAGGACTATAAGGATTGGAAAGAAGAAGAATGCAGATGGTTGATAACTTTTACGAGAAGAGGAAATACAGGAAATTGAAAGCCGAAGCACAGGACCAGGAAGATCGTATGGCCATTTTTTTTTCAATCTTTGTGTGGGATATTCCTCGCTTAACTGTTTTAAAAATATGTTTGGGTGACCATACGATCTTAAATAAAATGTCAAAAATAAAAAAAAGAGAGATATCTCATAGGAGATAATCTCTTAAATGCATTAACACCAACATCATATTGTCTTAAAAAATGTATATTATTTTGATTGACAATAAAACTATGCAAAAAAAAAGGACCAGAAAGCATGGAAGCAGAAATTTAGAAAAGAAAATGTATAAAAACCAATGTAAAGTGATTAAAGGTAATAAAACAATAAATATAGTGGGAATAATAAACAAGGAAGGGAAAGAAAATCATTGATTTTGTGGTGCTCCCATACCATGGACCTGCCTTCGGCCAGACTACTATTTATTACTATTATTATTCCACAACAGCTCGGAATTTAAGTTACTAAATAAATATAACTAACTTACCCATAGGTCAATTTTAGTAAAGGATGAATAGTCACTAAGCCCAACTTTCTCTCGACATGCTGCATATTCCTCACTCACAATATCAAACCAATGAGGTTTGTTAAAAGTATTCGTGTAAGCTATCTTGTAAGGTCTTGAAAACTCGTTTGAATGATCTTGGGATAAAAAAAATACAGATTAGAAATAGAACTTATCATTTCCCATTGTTATCCCATACTTATCACAAAAAAAAAACATATAAAATAAACAAGTATCTGAATATGTTCAGTAAAACACCCAACTAATTCATCAAAAAATGTTTTTCAAAAACTTGTCACTTGATTCTTTTTACCCCATAGGCGTCAGGAGGCACAAGGTCAAACGTCTTATTTTTAATATTAAATGGACCTTTAAGCCCCGCTATACCTTGTACTTAAAATATTACTTTTTGACAACAATAACTTTAAATTTAAATAATTTTATTCTAACTATTATTACCTTCATTTGGTGGATCAAAGTAAGCAGGTCTCTCATAACCCATAACTTGTCCAAAAACAGCACCAGCTTCTCGAAGTGCAGGATATATTGGAGACATTCTCAAATTCCGTCCAGTTTGGTACTCCGGAAAAGGATATTTCAAACCGTAATGCATACCTGGAAATAAAAACAGTTATTAATACTGCTACTCCAAAATCTTCTTTAATGTATATTTTACCAGGTACTTCTCTGACTCTGTCTCTCAAGAACTTTCTATTATTGTGCAGCCCTAGAAATCTATTAATGTCCAATTCATAAGTATCAAATCTGGTGTATCCTTGTGTAATAACTTCAGCAATAGAAAGACCAACACCACCAGCAGAAGACATTCCTACAGTTTTCATACCAGCTGCCACCAGATAATTTTGAATCTAGAAGAAATAGATTTTTAGACTCAAAACAATCACAATTACAATATTATGTGAAGAGATTTTTACTTCTGGGCTTTCTCCCATGATCCATCTTCCATCTGGTGAAAAAGCTTCAGGTCCATTTGACAGTCGCTCCAAAACTGCATCTTCTAAAGTAGGAACTCGTTTCAGCATTTCTTCAAGCAAGACATAAAAGTGATCCCAGTCTTCTGGTAGAACTCGTTCACAATTTGACACTTAAATAGACAATTAGATATAAATATTCATGAAGTTCTGGACTTGCCAAGAATGATTTTATTACTTGGTATGACTCCATCCTCATAAGCAGGTTTAGCAATAACTTCAAATCCACCAGCCATCAAATGCCCATCCTTTTCTCGGAAGTAAATGTGCCCATCCAAGTCTCTTACCACAGGTGTATTGGGGTCTAAATTTGGTATCTTCTTGGTGTGCAGATAATAATGCTCCACTGGGTGTAAAGGAACCTAAAACCAAGAATGGTGAAAAGAGATTTTGATTAAATGGGATTCATTTAGTACCTTGACATGTGGTTCGGACATCTGTCCGACTTTTCTGGCCCAAAAACCAGCACAATTAACAAAATAGACACATTCCACAAAGCCAGTGCCAGCTTTCACGGCGACTACTTTGCCGCCTTCCTGGATTACACCGGTTACTGGACAGTGTTCCACCACCTGGACACCTGAAAAATATGGGAAATGGGATCAATTTACAACAGTAAAGGACTGAAGTCGGCTAATAAGCTTTTTGATCTTTACCTCCAAGTTTTGCTTCGTTTATCAATGTCATACAGGTCTGATATGGATCAGCAACGCCGTCTCCGGGAATCCAGAGCCCCCCGACAAGATCATCCGTACGTAGGAGGGGGCACAAGTCTTTGCACTGCTTTGGAGTCACCAGTTCACAGTTGATGTTCCAGGAACTGCAAGATTTTTTTTGCACAATTCACTAACTGTGAGTACACCATTTTTTGTAGAGTCTTTTGATGTTGAAAGTTAGAAAATCTTGAAAGTTAGTTAATTTTGGATAAATTTGTCTGGTCTATTTAAAAAAAAACTAGTTGTATATAGTCAATATGGCTTGTTGGAACTTCTCATATAAGAATAAATTTAGTAGACGAATAACAATTAATATGTAATAATATACTGACCAGACACGGATACTGCACGAGAAAGATCAGGACAAGCGCCAAGGTGACGTTCAGTAAGAAGAGAACACTATTAACGAACAAAATAAGTCTCGACTTGCGGAAGAGACTAATAAAATGCTTTGTATGGAGCATAGCTCTGTAAGGATCGGAAACATGGACTCTAAGAAAGGCCGACAAGAATTAACTACCTCGAGAGGACAAGCATCGCAAGCGCCAAGGTGGCGTCCAAGAAAAGAAGAACACTACTGACGAGCAAAATGAGTCTCGATTTGCTAAAGAGACTAATAAAGTGCTTTGTATGGAGCATAGCTCTGTGCGGATCAGAGACATGGACTCTAAGAAAGGCCGACAAGATTTAACTACCTCGAGAGTTTTAAAATGTTGTGCAGGAGGCGAATGGAGAAGATAGAGTGGACAGACAAAATAACAAATGAAGAAGTCCTGAGAAAAGTGACTACTGAGCACGATCCTGAGAAGAAAAGGAAACTGGATCGGACCCCTTCTGCAAAAAGAGTGCCGTGGTAAAATAAAAGGAATGAAAAGAATAGGAAGAAGAAAAATGCAAAGGATTGACGCCTTATGTGAGAAGAGAAAATACAGGGAACTGAAAGACGAAGCGCAGGACCAAGAAGCATGGAAGCAGAAATTCGGAAAGAAAAATACATGAATATAAAAGGGGGGGGGGAATTAGTGGTAATGGGAATGATAGACGAAAGGTAAGGAAATCATTTATTTGTGGTGGCTTTCACACCATGGACCTGCCTTCGTGCTGACTACCATTCATTATTATTATTATATAATGATATAACAAGAACAAATTAGCAAATAGAACTTAATAACTAGTGGTGTTTGGCATCGTGCCATAAGACAAATTGCTGGAACTTCCTGTACCACAATTAAATATTCGAAGAATAAAACTTAGATAAAAAAAAATTTTAGAGATAAAAAAAAATTTGAAACAATTTTTTTTTCAAAATAAATCGTTTCGTCAACAACCGGAATGTTTTTTGAATCATTCAAATCGGATGCTTAGTTCTTTCAAAAACTGCCATTTTTGCACATTTAGCTCTATATCTCCCAAACGGCTAGACCTGCCTTTGCCAAAAACTAACCACTACTTCTCCCCATCATTACAAATTGAATGTTTTTCGGATCATTCAAATTGGATGCTTTGTTCTCTCAAAAACTCGATTTCTATTTTCTGCACTCTTTGGTCCGTATCTCCAAAACGGCTGGACCGGCCTTTGCCAAAAACTAATCAGCACATCTCCCTATCAATGAAAATTGAATGATTTCTGAATCATTCAAATCGGTTAATCTGTGCGCCCGAAAACGTGGACGAAAAATTGTATCCATACATACATACACAAACACATCCATTTTTTCTGAGATATGCCAAAATGTTCACAAACCTCAGATATGCAAAAATTTTCAATTTCGATTTTTGGACGATTACAATAACTTACCCTTCAGAAAGTTAATAACAAAAACAAAAAAAATCAAACAAATAACAAATAATACAATGATAAAAAAATGTTTATTTACTACAATTATTTACAAATACTACAATTCATGAAAGATACAATATTGTATTGACTATTAAATTACTCAATTAAAACAAAATCAGTATATTTTCCATAATATACAATTTCTCAATCAATATTCTTATGTTTACGTATCTTCTGGTGCCTAATAAGACTCCTCAGGTGTATAAAAGTGCTACCACAAGTCCCACAATCAAAAGGACGATCCTTAGCATGTATCTTCATATGATCTTTCAGATTCCCCGCTTTTTTAAAGCCCACACCACAAGTCTCACATTTGAAAGGACGTTTATCTGAATGAACAACCATATGTTGCCTCACATTACTCGCATAAGCAAAAGTTTTATCACATACATCACATTTGAAAGGTCGCTCTCCGGTATGGAGAACCTGATGCACTTTTAAATCATTCAAGAATTTAAATTGTTTACCACAAGTTTCACAAGTATGCTGTCGTTCATCAGAATGTGTGAACATGTGTCGTTTTAAAACATATAAATGGGTAAATTTCCTACCACATTTACCACATTCATGTAAACGTGCAGCATGGGTAAGTAAATGTGCTTTTAGTGATGCATAATTTGCAAGGATTTTACCACATATATCACAAGAGTGAGGCAGTTGTTTAGAGTGAAATTCAGTATGTCTTTTTAATCTGCTTGAAGTAGAAAATGATTTAGAGCATATTTCACAAGTGACTGTATGTTTATTGTTGTGTGTTTGTGTATGTCTTGATAATTTTCTTTGTTTATCGAATGTTTTGTTACAGATTTCACATTCATAAAGTTTGTCTTTGATTTTATTTAAAGATCTTATAGGTACCTCATCAGCATTTTGGTTTTTTAATGACTTCTCAGAATGTGTTGTTAAATGTTGGGCTAATGTAATAGAAGTATCGAAAGTCTGTTTGCATATTTCACATATACAATCTTGTTTAGTATTTTTTTCTAATGCTACATCAGACTTCATAATGAGTTCTGAGCATGTTGTATTATCTTCTGGAGAAGATACTTGTTTCATATCAGATGAAATATTGGAATCTTGGTTTGTAAAATGATTTGCAATATTAATTAGATATTGCAAAGCCTCAAACTTTGTTTCTTCAGACATATTTATCAACTTTATACCTTTTTAAGAAGCTCCTTGTAAGACACAGCTACTATAGACAAAATTCTGGTTTAACATCAGCTGAAATATCAAACTCTTGCTTAATAGAATGATTTATTACATCCAATGGCTCATCGATATATTCTATATCATTTAATAACAACTTTGGTTCTTCAGATGTATTTTAAATACTGACTTTATATAATAGTATTGGCTTTATACTTTTTTAAGGTGCTCCTTGTAAGACACAGCTTTATAGACAAAATTCTGGTTTGACATAAGCTGCAATATCAAATTCTTGCTTTGTAGAATGATTTATAACATCCAATAGCTTATCGATATATTCTCAAATTTGGTTCTTTAAGTCTATTTCATATACTGACTTTTATATATAATAAAATCAACTTCATACTTTCCTAGAAGGCTTCTTGTAAGATGTACAGCAAGTTTTATAATTCAGGATTTATCAAGATCTTGCCACCTCTACAAGAATTAGTATAAACAATTAACTGTTTGTTTAGATTTTTCCTTCACTGATTTTTTTTTTGGTTCACTTTAATATAATAGCACTTTCCACAAACCTTTTAACAAAAAAAATACAAATAATATCTTATAATTCTTTACACATTCATCTAATCTACAAACACTATCTACTTACTCTTCTTTTCATAACTTTTTTGTTTTCACCATTGCGCGCATTCACACCATTTGGCGCGCTTTTTTAAAACTATTGAATAATTGATAAAATAATTTCTGAAAAACTGCTGAACAATTGCGTTTATTTATTGTGCAATATGTATTTATTAATATTGAATTAACAATTTTGATAATAAACATCAACAGCTTTTAAAAAAAAAATCAATGGACAAAATTTGGCGGGAAAAACTATTATCTATGGCCAGAACTGTTCAACATGACGCCGACGCGTGCCAACATTAAAATTTTTTATTTAATTTTTGCAATTTACAAAAATTACAAGTTTTAAGTTGTAAGTAAGTACTTGCCATGTACTTGCATTAACTTCCTGAGGCATGTACATAAACAACTAATTAATAACACTTGCAATTCAACTATTTAGATAAAATATAACACCGTTTTTTCATTTGCACTAAAAATAAACCCTTTCCACTCGGATGCTGCCGGTGGCGAAATACGTACTAATTCTTCGAGTGGAAAGGGCAAATCATTGCGATTTTCAATTGGTGTCTTTCAAACATACTTATAATACCTGTAATTGTATACATTAAATTAATTTCTTTGACACATTTCATTTAATCCGTTTCTGGTTCTACAAATGTATTTTATTTAAGTGTGGACGTCAACTGTAATCAGTAGCTACATACGAGATACCACAGAACGTACAGATGCTTCGACATAGATTCTGATTAGAATCGCTCAATCTCTATTTCTTTGCAGAAATTGCTTTTTATGCAAACCGTTTATCAACTATGTACTGTTTGTGCGCATCGGGAAATATTTGTACAATAGGAAAATGGCAGGTGCGGACAACCCTCGATAAAAATAAATTGTTGTTTTTTAAGTAAATGGCTATTATGAAACAGAGATTTGTAGAAGGAGGATGGGGTAAAAATTTAGAGTTGTGTGCATTTTTAAATTCAGCATAAAAAAAATAAAACTAAAAAAAAATTGATTCCAAAATTTAAAAAATAGGGATGGACAACCCTTGATGAAAATATATAGCTGATTGAAGTAAAAATAGTTTATTTTTCAATTTAAAATTATAGAAAATTGGTCTCAAAATTAAAAAAAATGTTAAGGGTAGACAAAACCCTTGATAAAAATAAATAATATTCTGAAGTAAAAGAATTGTATATATTTTGTCAATTCCACATTAAAAAAATAAAATAAAAAAAGTTTACCTCCAAATGAAAAAGAGTTGGACATACTTTAATAATAATAAATTATATTTCAAAGTAAAATTATGTTTTTTCTTCAAGCTCAAAAACTAAACTAAAATTATTTAAAAAATATTCAATGACTGAACTTCGGATAAAAAATGGTTGAATTGCTAAAATGGCTATTAAAAAAATAGAGGTTGGTAATAATGAAGTAAAAATTTAGGGTTGTATGTATTTCTTAGTGCCATATTATAAAAAAATAAAAATAAAAAATTTAATCCAAAAATTAGAAAAAAAATTAGAAGAATTCTATATATAAGATGTTCTATATATATAATTCTTCTGTAATGATGCATGAAAAATATACTCAGCCTAAACGATTTTTCGGATTTTGATAAATCTTTCTGAAATTTGTTAAAAGAATTTTTTAGAATGTATGTGATTATAAAAATATAGTAATATTGCAGAAATAAATGGAAAAAATTGCTAAAAACGACATACCATCGTATAACATTGAAAATATTTGAGACATTGTTTGGCATTGAAAACAAATGAAAACTGTCATCTGCCAAAAAATTCAATTTACTTATGAGCCTAGAAAATATTAGATTATTAAGAATATTAAAAAATTGTAGGCGTGGGTACAGGATAACGCCTGTCGGGTCATCTAGTATATATATATATATATATATATATATATATATATATACATATATTTAATTTCCACTTACATACTCTGGGCCTTCATATGTCGAAACAAAGTCATCCTATCCCTGCTCCGAGCCAAATTCAAGGAACCACATTTCTTCCAACCAGTCGCTAGACCTTTGTTATCCAAATCCTTCAACAAACCCAAAGAAACTTTGTGCCAATTTAACTTGAGACAAAGTTGGTTTAAATTCTCCTACTAAACCAGACGTGTGCCAGGTAGAACCGCCACCAAACCTAAAAGAAAATAAATAATAAAACACAGAAAAAGAAGTATTAATACATAATACTCTAATTATTCAAGTACCAATGTATCAATTACTACCTTCCTTGTTCTAGTAGAACAGTATGAGGGCCCCATCCCATTTGTGCTAAATGATAAGCGACAGAAGCCCCCATAACGCCTCCTCCACATATGACAACTCTGGATTTCTTTGGTGGCAGCCCATTTTCTTCAGTATTTAATTGACCGTTTGCAAAATTTCTACAATGCACCAAATTCAAACGAGCACTACATCGTTTTAATAAAAGACTTTGTAAAGGCATTTTGGTAAATTGTACAGGGTTAGAAGTTCGTAATCATTGTTGTGGGGTAATGGATAATCACGAGATAATATTAACTGAAAAAACATATATTTGTTGCATATATTTGTTGTAAAACAATTTATATTTGCTTTCTGAGCCTTTTTAGCATCTTGGAAATATCTTTATAAATTCAGCTTATCGTTGAAGCTCCTATTGTTTCACAAACTGAAGTTTTAGGTTTGCGAAGAAACTCGAAGGGCTAAGATGTATTAGATATACAATTCACAATTATCAAAAATAACAAAACAACCAATATATAAAATGGTACAGCTTTTAAGAAACTTAGATTGAAAACGAAATCATTCTCTATTTAAATAATAAAATTATAAAATCTTACACAAGATGTTAAGTTTTTTTCTATTGTACTAAAATGGTGATTGTTAGGTAAATAATTTAAAAACCCTTTAATTATATTATTATTATACATATATTATATAACAATGTTTTATACTTTAACTAAATAATTTGATTATTTAAGTAAGTAATTTAATATAATATTTAATATTTGTATACTCTGTCATCATCCATATACTTTACACAATAAATAAATTAATTACACAACATATATATCATTTGTTACATCTTGAATATTATTATTTATATTAAAACCATTCAAATTTATAATTATTTCGTAAAATTATAGATTTTTTTAATGTTTTTGCATAATATTTTGTTTATTTCTGCACAATTTAATTTGCAGGTTATGTGACATTTGACATGTCAAAACATGGCGACTGTGGCGCCCTCTTGTATGTCAAAATATAACTTTTTTTTATTCATTAATTTAATATTTTGTTAATAAATTCGATTTTACACAAAATTAATAATGAAATTTATATATCTACATATATATATTTACATATATAAATAAATATTAGGTTCAGGTTTTATTTGTTTATTTTTTAGACAAATCTGTATTTGAATTTAAATTTTTATCGTTTAACGGATTGTAGATTGTTTAAATTATATTATTTATAAATGAATTTTGTGTATATATAAATAAATATAAGTTCATTCATTTAATTCTATTTTTTTTTATTCTTCTTTTTTTTCTTGATTTTTATTTTCAATGCCATCACTTTTAACTTATAGATTATATTGTAATCTGATTGTTAAAACTTGCAATAATAAAAAAATATATAATTATAAGTACAAACTATATACTAAATGATTTGTATAAGTTTCAAAATTGAATTAGTCTTTTATTAATCATTAAGTCATATTATTTAAATAATATTGTTCCATTGCATCACAAATTATAATAATAAAATAATTATTATTATTATTTTTACTATATTGTCAAGTTTTGTGAAGAAAATTATCTTAGAAATTTGTAATAATATTAATAAATACAAATAAATATTTTTATATTCAATAAAACTTCAAATATTATTTTATAGATAAATATAAGAGCTTTTTTTTTCAAATTAAAATTCTTGTAAAAATGTATTAGTTAATAATAATATCTTCATTATTATTTTCAATACAAATTGTTTATATTCTATATATTAATAAATAATAATAAATAGATTTATATGCAAATGTTTAATTTGAAGAATTTTGATATGGTTTGGATCTGAACTAAAAACGGTTTTGATCCTTATGTATGGTTTTGACCAAAGATAAATAGGCATAATTAATAATAATAATAAACATAATTGACATAATTAACATAATTAACATAATTTTAAAATACAGTATGTTAATTTTATTTTGTTTTTTATTTAATTTAATATTTGGCTATTTAATTTATAATACTATATATCAATAATTATTGCAAAATGCAAATTTAAGTTATAATAATATAATTATAAATCAAAAATATTCATTTAATTATAATTTATGAATAAAATATTGTAAGAATTAAAATAAACTAGCCCTTAAATAAAACAATATAAACTAGCCTTATATTAAATAGTATTATTCATCAATTCAAAATATCTTTGTCTATTTATAAAAAATATTCATCCTAAAATTTGCAATATTATTAATAATAAAATAAATAAATAAATATATAGAATAAATAAATGAATAAAACAAAAAGTAAATTGATTAAAATTTATTTTATGAATGAGTGTAAAAATTTAAGGCCCTCTAATTTAAAATACTTGTAAAAATATTAATATTATAATAATAATACATTTATAAATATTTTTAAATAAATAGTAATCAATAACAATTGTTTTTTTTTTAATCCTTGTTAATAAATAAAGTAAATTATAATTACTAGTTTAAGATATAATGAAAAACACAACATATTGTGACATTGAGTATTGCTAATATAATTTCTTAAATTAATATATGATCACATGATCATTATTTTATTAAAAACACATAATATGTATCTTTTGGCTATGATCAATATTTATTTTACAAAATCTCAATAAACTTTTTAAAATAACTCAAGGAGTGTTAATATGGTTTGGGTCTGAGCTAAAAAAGGTTTTGACACATAATATAAAAATGAAGCATGATAATTTTATTTTGTTTATTAATTTAACTGTTAATATTTTTCAATTTAATCATAATAAAACATGAAATATGAATAATTAAAATATTATGAATTATATAGTTAAATAAATCTTATCTAGAATTAAACCTATGGGTAAATTTACGTGCTAAATTCGTCGCGCCTCTATGAATAGCGAAAATAAATAAAATTAAAGTTACATTCCTTTCATAGAAAAGATAAGTCTAATAAATTTGAAAAAATATAATGAGAACAATAAGTACGTGTAAAAAATAGATTTTCAACTAAATAACAAATATGTTCTCACAAAAATTATATAATAAAAAATTTTGAACGTTTAAGGTACGTGTAGTATAATAAAATAATCAGTTCTTTACAAAGAGTGATAAATTTGGAGTCCCTCTATTGAGGGCACAAAACACTAAGAGAGTGTAAAGCACTTTTATTGTGTTACATGTGTTTAGCACCCGTGATTTGAAATAATATGCTTAATCAATGAACAGAATGAAATTTTGATGCAACATTTTGAAATTATGTGTCAAAACCTTTTTTTAGCTCAGATCCAAACCATATCATATTTTGTAATATTTTTCAAGATTTTGTAAAATAAATATATATTTGCCAAAAACATATTATACTTTGCATTTATTTAGTTTGCAATATTAACCCTTTCGACTCGAATGCTGCCGCTTCAGCTGCAGCAAAATTCGGAATGCTATCAATTTTATAATAATTAATCGTATGAATGTATAAATATTCGTTTTTATTTATTATCAAAAATTCTTAAAGACATACGACATCCCATAAAGATGAAAAAATAATTGTTATAAAAAAGAGCTTTTCAAAAAATAATAGTTGTCCAGAAGAACTTCCTTTTCTGGTCCTAAGGCCTCAGCTTGTTCACCAGAGACTTTTGACCGCGCTCGTAAAAATAGCTAATCCTTAGGCTATTTTTAAACGGTGCTAGGTGTCTGGCCGACACACGACCAGTAGTGGACCTGTAGTGTTGTGCGACGGTAACGGGCGACTGGAGACGGAGAAAAATATTATTAGAAATTTGTAATTAAATAATAAAAAGGACAAGTGAGTAGAAAAAAATTATATATATATATATATATATATATATATATATTGTCATATTATTTTCCATTAACCCACATAAAATTTTTACATAATACTCAACAAGTGCAAAATAATAAGTCTATTTTCGAATAAGCTTGCCATTTTATATTACTATTGTCTTAAAATAAGATAAGATAAGTTTGAGTAAGATTTGTTAATTGTGAAGGTATCTTATGAAGTAAATAGAGAAGACAACATAACCTCAACACCTTAATCGACTTCTTTCGTATCTGACTGTAAAACCATAGAGTAAAAAGACATGTAACACCATCTGTAGTGATACCCTATTTTATTACCTTATTTAAACATACGTTTTTATTTTCTTAATTTTGTAATATAGCTTATAACTGTATCTTGATTGTTATTTGACGAAATAAAAAAAATCTTACTATAAGGGAAAGTATCATGCTTATTCCATAGATAAGCAAGTATAAATAGATCGCAAACAAGGCCGCTTTGACATCACCTTAATTTTAATTCTTTTCGCAAATCGCAGAGACGCCACCAACTATAGCATGTAAATCTACCCTTATTTATGTGAAAATTGCAAGACAACATAACCTCAACACCTCAATGCACTTCTTTCTTATTTTATTGCAAAACTGTAAAATCTCTCTGCAGTGATATCTTTTTTTCACTTTCTTTAGAATAAGTTATAGTATAGTAAAAAATCGAAAATTATTTTTTTTGGATATCTTTACGTTTCAAGACCTTTGAACATTTTGGAATAGCTTAGTAAAATTGATGTATGTGGGTGTGTGCGTATGTGTTTTTTATGGATACAATTTTTTATCCACAATTTCGAGAGTAGGGATCAACCGATTTGAATGATTCAAAAACATTAATATTGACTACTGCTGTGCTTATTTATATAATAAATAAACCAATAACAATAAGTATAACATGTTTACATAATAAAATATATATTTAAATAAATATATAATAATTCCTCAATTGAGGTAAAAATTTAAAAATATTAGTTTTTTTTAGTAGTAAATTACAATATATATAAATGAATCATTTACAAATTTTTCTGTAAAATCGTTACTTAAAATAGATTTCCATAACAAAATACTTCAATTTCTGATTTTGTGAAAATTCAATAATATTTTATTTAAGACTCTATAATAAAATAAATGAAGTTCTAATAATAGTATTATTGGTGTACGTGCCAAAACACAAATTTTATAGTAAAACATCCGTAATGACGAGAATTGTTTTCTTTTAACATTTCGAACAGGATGAAGGAAATGATTACGTATTGTTTTTATTACTCTACTTATTTGGTCAGAAAATAATAGATATAAATAATGATAGACTTATGTGTCTTAAAATATTTATAAAATTGCCAAGATTAATAACAACATCTATTTATATTACAATACAATAAAGTTTAAGATTTAATAATTCACATTCAAAAATTAACGCAAATAAAATGGCAGTTAAATTAAAATTGCGTCCTGTTAATTGACATAAAACGTTTGAACTAATAATATTTATTTATTTAAAAATGTTTGTGATTATATTTATGATGTGAAATGTAATAAAATCTTATTATATTGAATTATTTAAAATATGGAACAATAAATTTAAATTTTCAATATTTCACATTCAAATATTAACGGAAAATAAAATGGCAGTTGAATTAAAATGGCGTCCTGTTTATTGACAAAAAACGTTTGAACTAATATTATTTATTTATCAATAAATATATGTGATTATATTTATAAATAAATGTAACAAATCTTATTATATCGAATTATTTAAACACCAAACAATAAATTTAAAGTATGAATAATTTATATTCAAATATTAACGGAAATAAAGTGACAGTAAAATCAAAATGGCATCCTGCGAATTAACGAAAGACGATGGAAAGACGTTAGAACTAATATATTTATTTTTTTATAAATATATGTGATTATATTCATAAATAAATGGAATAATATCTTAATATACTGAATTATTTAAAATATCGAACAATAAATTTAAAGTATGAATAATTTATATTCAAATATTAACGGAAAATAAAATGTCAGTTGAATTAAATGGCGTCCTGGGAATTAACGGAAAGCGTTAGAACTAATATATATTATTTTATATTTTAAATATATGTGATTATATATATAAATAAATGAAACAATATCTTATTATATTGAATTAGTTAAAATATCGAATGATAATATTAAAGTTCAAATAATTTATATTAAAATATTAACGAAAATAAAATGACAGTGAAATTAAAATGGCGTTCTGTGAATTAATAGAAGACGTTAGAAATAATATTATTTATATATTTATGAATATAGAAGTGATTATATTCATTAATATATGAGTTCGTAATAAATATATAAATTTAAATTTTAAATTTAAACGTAAGTGACGTCAATAAATGCGACATGTAGTTTTGCACATAAGTAATGCTTTTCTTATTTTATTTATATTATATGTCAGGTAAAATTAGTTTTAATTAAATAAAAACTAAAAACATTATTGAAACCACGAAAACATTGTACTTTAAACATAAAACAACAAAATCTAGAGTTTCAATATTTTATACATTCAAAAGTTAAAGTAAAACAAAATTAAATATTAAAATGGCGTCCGTTAAATTAACAGTTACTTTATTAAATAAAGTAAATTAAAATGGCGTCCGTTAAATTAACAGTTAACAGGTGAAAATTTATAATTATATATATAAATAGGAGTGTATATATATATATATATATATATATATATATATTCATATTTATATTTATATTTAAAATCTGTTCATAAACAAAGTCTACGATTGCACATCTGACATTGAAATCTAATTTTAACAAAAATAATCATCCCATCATCTTCATCATTATGTTATTTATATGCAACTCTGAGAGATTCGATTTCTTCTCCTCGACCTATTTTTAATCTATTGAATTTATTTATCGACTATTTTTATAGACATAACATATGGGTCATAAAAAGTAAACGAATTATTTAAAACTGGTGAAAAGACTCCCAGTGCAATAAAAAAAATATAAATCCGTACGTCAATCGAAAGTTCTGTATTGTTTTTAGCCATAAAAATCTTTACATAAAGTCTTATGTAAACTGTTGAAACTTAAAAAATGATTTTAAAAAATCAAAATGTTTAATTAGTGCTTTCGCTCCTGTACAGCGCTGCAGTCGCTTTAACAAAACTTCTATATACTAAGACTTCTTTTTTATAGTAAGGCGTCAGCATTATTTTAGTAGACAATAAGTCTTACAACTATCCTAAAAAATAGAAAATAAATCTTAGGAATTTTGAAAAAAAAGACTTTTTAAAGAAAATGTATTTTGAAATATTTTGGAAATTCTGAACTTTTTTTCAAAGCAATCGTACTGCTTTAACTGCATAGAGTCAAAATATCGAAGCGCGTAAGCGCCGCGCCACCGTCTAACGGATAAGCTTTGGTACGTAACCCATAGGAATGTAAACAAAATTTATACTTATTGTTAAAATCTCTATAAAATATCTGATAATTTGATGTAGATATGTCTAATGATCATTTTTGACCGCCAGATAGCATTTTTTTTTTACTTTTTTCACTAGATCTCCGAAACCGCTAGACCTGCCTTCATGAAAATTTGAACAGTTCTTCACCTTGTTAATACAATTTAATTATTTGATATAAAGTTTCAGATGAATTAGTGAGCTAAAATTCTGCCAAAGACTAAATTAAGTTATAATTTGCAAGCAAGTGTGTTGCACGAAATCTAAATTTTATTTATCAAAAATCTATGAATGATATTTGAATCAAATAACGCTGAAATGCAGCTTTATCTCGCTTGCGGCGCTGCGGTCGTCTTAGCAAAGTTATAAACCTCAATGATGACCGCCTTGAAGTTGTTTATATTATTTATTATTATTATATCGTTAAATTAATTTTATTATAAATTACACATATCGAATAATTAAATTTATTATAAAATGGGTGTGGTTTTCATTACTCAAATATAACTTAGAATTTTAGTTAAATAATTCGCTTCACATTATTCTCGATTATTTCCATCGATTAGATCAACAAATTTTCAAGCTTCAAATTTCTTAATAAGTTTTAATAATATGATGATGATGTAATTTATAGAAGCTAATTTTATAATTTGGATTATTAATTATTTTTAAAGGATGTCTCGTCGTCTGCCAAGACGCACGCGCGTTTACGACTGCAATTACGACAAAGGCGAAAGTTACTACAGGCCAGCACTCGACAGGCTGGACAAGAAATTCACCGGCAGACTGGACAAGGTAATAATAAATAATCTCAAAAAATAGTAAAAATCTTATTGAAAAATCAATTTAGAAGTCATAAATATAAAGCACAAGTATCATCAGTATTGTGTGATATGACCTGATATGTGTTTCAAGTAATCTATCATCAGCATTGTGTGATGTGACCTTTATGTTTGGGCAATATTCATTTCCCCCCTAGCCTTTTGAAGAACGCGCCTCATCCCTCACCAATGCTGCCGATGACGTTTTTAAACGTCGCCCTGCCGCTTTCGATGACATGGACTTCCCTAGCCGCCGATCTGGCAACACCGCCAGGGAAGCATTCGACGAAGCTGTCGATAAGGCTTTCGACTACAAAGGCGGTTTGGTGTCCAGAGGACTCCGCAGACCATTGAGTGTCTCTTTCGATACTGACCCAGATTTCGCTGACGAGGTAAGAGGAATAGATATATGGTGAAGGGTAAAAGAAACTAGTGGTGTATGGATGAGAGAGATCTCTTGCATTGTGGTCAAATGCATTTGTTTTGTTGAAAATCTTTATACATCCTAGCAAGATGCTTAAATTTGTCCTTGACATGAAAGTTCCAAATAAGATCCAGACTTACATTAAACAATTATCAGCTTCTTTTGTATTATTCGAAGAGGATGCAACATTTCACTCTCATCCTAAAGACTATTTACTTAGTTTTGATTTTAAATTCAAAGTAATTTGCATGTTGGTACACAACCCTAAGCATTGTCATCAGATGGTCATCTGATAAAACTGATACCTTGGTGAGCAAAAAGCCAATTATGCTGACCAAGTTTGCAAAAGATAGTCCAAACCGAATGCACTTGCCTTGTTTCAAAGCTAGCAAAATGTATGTCTTCCAAATCATCAAAATCAGCTCACCCGTTCTCCTCGATAGTGATACAACCAGTTCCTAAATATTATCAAAAACATCAATGATGATCATCTGATCAAAGAACTGATAATTTGGTTTGCTGATCAATGTTTGCAGAAGAGAACCTGCCTTGTTTTAAAGCTTTCCATAATAATTGTATGCGTTTCAAATCATCAAGATCAGCTCAGCCGTTCACCTCGATAGTGATACAACCAATCTCAAAATATTGTCAAAAAATACCAATAATGATCGTCTGATCAAATAACAGATAAATTGGTGAGCTGATCAATGTTTGCGGAAGAGAGTCCAAAACAAATACACCTGCCTTGTTTTAAAGTTAACACAAGTCTTTTAATACAAATTGTAGGTCTTTCAAATCATCAAAATCAACTCAGCCGTTCTCCTCGATAGTGATACAACCAATTCCTAAATATTGTCAAAAAACATCAATGATGATCAACTGACCAAAAATAGATAACTTGGTGAACTGATCACTGTTTGCATAAGAGCGTCCAAAACAAATGCACTTACCTTGTTTTAAAGCTAACACAAGTCTTTCAATACAAATTGTATGCCTTCCAAATCATCAAAATCAGCTCAGCCGTTCTCCTCGATAGTGATACAACCAATTCCTAAATATTGTCAAAAAACATCAAAGATGATCATCTGACCAAATAACTGATAACTTGGTGAGCTGATCAATGTTTGCAGAAGAAAGTCCAAAGCAAATGCTTCTACCTTGTTTTAAAACTTACACAAGTCTTTTAATGCAAATTGTATGTCTTTGAAATCACCAAAATCAGTTCAACCGTTCTCCTCGATAGTGATACAACCAATTCCTAAATATTGTCAAAAAAACACCAATGATGATCATCTGATCAAACAACTGATAACTTGGTGAGCTGATCAATGTTTGCAGAGGAAAGTCCAAAACAAATGCACCTGCCTTGTTTTAAAGCTAACACAAGTCTTTCAATTCAAATTGTACGTCTTTCAAATCATCAAAATCAGCTCAGCCGTTCTCCTTGATAGTGATACAACCAAAATAAATTAAATAAAATGGACATAAATTTCTACAAAATGCAATTATTGATTGTTTTAAAGTGCTCCAAGAATCAGAAGGTCTGGATACTAACTACTTATTTTGAATAATCAAAATCGATTCAGTCGTTTTCCTAACAAAGCAGAAAAATTATAATTTGCTCCTTAACGATCAGGTGGTCTGGCTGAAAATACGTCATATATAGGGTCCGCCAAATAACTTTTTTTTTGAAGATTCTATAAAAAAAACTACTGATTTTTTAAAATTTGAAATAATAGTTTTGGTTGTAAGGAAAATGCAAATGGCAGCCTAACTTTTAAATGGTTGCCAAAAAATCAAAATGGATGCTAAAGATTGAAAATGGCTGCAAAAGTTAGATGGCGGACACTTTACTTCAATTAGGGCTTGTTTTTATATTTATTACAATATTCAATAAAATAACAATAAAAAAAAATTAAATTCAGAAGGGATTTCTACGTTTCCAGACCTCCTGCTTGTTTCAGAGTATTTTATATACATTGTTCCTGTTTTAGAAAAACTGCTGAACCGATTTGAATGATTCAAAAGCCATTGTATTTGTATTGATAATGTGGACCCTCAGTCTAGTTCCCAGACCTCCTGATCACTTCGGAGTAATTTAAAAATCAATGATTATATTTACTACGTTACACCATTTTCGTGAGAACGACTTAACCAATTTTGGTGGATCAGAGCCATTCGATTCGAATTGACATTGTAGAAACATAGCTTAGCGTCCGGACATCCCGATCAATCTGGAGTACTTAATGAAATATTTTTTTAAGTACTCTAGATTGATCAGGATGTCCGGATAGATTTTTATATGTTTATACGGAAACTAAAATCAAATAAGATATAATACAATTTTTCTAAATTCGTGTGTGTTCTTTATCTAATGGGGCCATTTTCCCCGAATGTGCCCCAATAAGACTCCGCACCTCGAGCACCTCCGCCTCGATAGTGATATCGTGTTTAGTATCGGCCTTCCTGATCAATCTAGAGCACTTCAAAAATATATATTTTGATATCTTTATACGGAAACTAAAACCAAATCAAATTGAATACATTTTTTCTAACTCGTGTGTGTTCTTTATCTAATGGGAGGTCATTTTCCCCGAATGTGCCCCCATGAGACTCCGCACCTCGAGCACCTCCGCCACGATAGTGATATCGTGTTACAACTGAAACTACATTGAGAGCAAAAGAATGTATTTTTGTTTCGATTCATTCTTGTATAGATGTCTCATCCTAAATAACTGACGCGGATTTTTTGGCAACGTACCAGAATTTGTAGAATGACGGTGGCCCCTTTGTAAAAGACAATGGAAAAAGAAATTTATGATAAACATTATAAATTAATATACTGTAGATTGTTGATTTATGTTGGTGTTGACTCTGAAAAACCGCGGGGGCGTTTTAGCTAAGGTTTTCACCAAAGTTTATCTTGGTTCCAAACCACTGGAAAGAGAAATTTATGATAAACATTATGAATTTAATATACTTGTAGATTGTTAATTGATGTTGTTGTTGACTCTAAGAAAACTCGGGGGTGTTTTAGGTAAAGATTTGACCACAGTTTACCTTGGGTCCGAACCACTAAATTATACTTATTTCATTGTTATCACTCTTGTTGTTTTATTTATCGATCGCCCCGATCATCTATATTTATTACTTCTAATTTATATCGCTTAATTATCCTCATAGTTCTTTTATCTTAGTTTCGAACCACTTCACAATTTTTAGCTTTTATTAAGTTTATATGCAAGCACTTACTTGTATTTTTAACTTTTGTTTTATTTATCAGTTGTCCACATATATGTTCTTTATTTTTTCATTTATTAATTAATTTTAAAACTCATTTATTTTAGTTTTGAACCATTTATTATTTATGTACATTATTTTATGTACAGGTTAATTTATGTTTGAGCAAAATGCATTTGGTTTCAAAGACAATGAACCAACCCATTTTGCCCCGAAGAACTATATTTATTACTTTCATTTTATATTTCTTAATTATTCTCAATTTTTTTATCTCAGTTTCGAACCACTCGACAATTTTTAGCTTCTAGTAAGTTTATATCCAAACCACTTACTTGTTGTTATCACTGTTGTTTTATTTATCAGTTATCCACATTTATGTTCTTTTTTAAATTCATTACTCAACTTTAAAACCCATTTATCGTAGTTATAAACCATTTATCCATATTCATTACCTTTAAAAATCATTATTTCATGTTACAGGTCAATTCATCTCTGAGCAAAATGCGTTTGGCAAAGAAAAAAATTGGTTTCGAAGACGATGAACCCGTTTTGAGGCCACGCACTCGATTTACAGACTTGGAAGGTAAAATAAAAAAATAAAAATAATATTTAGCTAAAAGCTCTTTTACAACAATGCAGAAAATTATGATAAAATAATTAACATCCTGAAGAATAAAAAAGCAAAAAATCTTGGAGTTTCAACTAGAGGTTTTAGATTCGATCCGCAAATTGGACAAATTTGATATCAAGCAGTGGTGATTTCAGTTTCAGTTTCATTGAATTTTAGTTTTAAATCTGATTTCAAGTGAGAACATCCTTTTAGGCATCGTTGCATATATGCATCATGTATAAATCTAATAAGAATCTAATGAGAAAGAGTATGGACAACCACTGGGTTGTCCTTTAAAAATATATGCATCATGTATAACAGAATCTAATAGCAATTTAATCAGAAATAACACGCCAACCACTAGTTGCCCTTTACATACAATAGTCTAAGAATTTACACACACAACACATTTCACAAAATAAATAACCTTAATTCTATTTCTCCTTACCTTTCATCAGATGGTGTCGATTCTTCGGCCACCTCCTCTTCCATGGTTGCCAGGAAGCGCGTCTTGAAGATCTCCTCCTCTGTTGAGAACTCGAGCGACGTTGCCACATCAGCTGGAGAATTGAGAAGTGGCGCCAAATGGACTGCTCTGCGCGCCTCTGATGACGAAGGTTGGAATCTAAGGCCGGTTCTGGACATGGAACGCGGATATTATAATACTTATCTTACTCCATAAGAGTTAAAAGATAATTATGTATATATATTTTATATATTATATAATATATATAATTATAGGTTTATATCACAAAGACGCTCAATTCACAAGGGGAACCTCAGATTATTTTTATTTAGTTTGGACTTTGTATACACGTACATTAGTCATATACATTTTATAAGTTATCTTTACAATTATTTTATTTCTTTGTCAATAATATTATAAAATTGGTTGGAAGGAAGATTTTTTGCCTTACTATCTCCCTCCATAGTTCTTGTCTACTCTTTTCCCATTTTTTGCACTCCATAATGGCGTGCAAAGGCGCCCTAGTCGCTCCACTTAATTTTTATAAATAAACCGCTTCTCATAGGCCTATAATATTTTAAACAATGTTGCATCAAAATCCCAGCAGAGTAAACCTGAGAATCTCTTTGTGAGTTTATTTATTTTACACAAATTATTAATTATGGTTTAAAACCTTGCTATGATATGAATGATATTGGTTGAGGAGGCATGTATCCGATACAGTTTTCTATTTATATCAGAATCGTATTTAGTAACCTTGTAGAGTCCATGTCTCTGATCCTATATATTTATTTATTTATTTATCATTATCATTCATTATGTAACACCTAACCTCACTTCATCTCATGTATAATTTCGTCTTGAATAAATAAATATAAATAAAATGGTTTTTATTTTATATAAATTATAAAAATCTAGTACTATTATTTATTTTATTTATTCAAGGTTATGTTTATGTACTCGGTATACTTTAAAATCGTATATGAACGTTTTTTTTGCTAGATCGTTTATAAAATGTAAAGCATTCGATTAGTATTAATGGTGCAGTAGAGAAACTTTTATATGAATAAGTCACATTGGTTCAAAACTAATTAAACAAAAGTTCAATTAACTATTTCTAACAAGAAAAACCTTAGAACAACTCGGTATATTTTACAGCCAAATTCGAAAGTAAATGGTCATTAGATTAGTTACATTGATATTCTTTCTTTTTTTATTTTAATATTTTTTTTATACATAGACATACTCCATAAATCCTTTACCCCCCAGGTGGCGCTGCCGCCCTTCGTGCTAAACAATCTCGGGCCCTCCTGGCCGACATCGAAAGCGACCTGGCCCAAGCTGCCGAAAGGCAGGTGCACCGCGAGAAGCGCCTTGCGGGACTCCGAAAGATGATGGCGGAGAATCGCGAAGAGGATGCCGAATACGAGCGACTAATGCAGAGGGGTGAGAAGGTGCGCAGCGAGATGGTCACGGAGGACAGAAAGATGCTGGCGTTTTAAGGAAAGAGAGGGATGGGGGATGAGAGGGATAAGGAAGGGTGAGGGAGAAAGAGAGAGGGATAAGGAGGGATAGAGGAAGGAAGTTGAGAAAGTGAGGGAACAACGGGAGTGAAGAAAAGAGATGTAGGTTTAATTAAGATGTAGAAGAGCGAGATGGATATTTAACAACTAGATAAAAGATAAAGAGAGAAATGGATAGTTAGAAAAAGAGAAGAACAGGGAAGATTATAAAATAAAGTAGATGATTATTTTTTTAAAGAGTTTAATAAAATTTTAAATGTTTGGGCCTATACTCGGATACACAACTTACACAAAAAATGCAGTATAGGTAATAGCAATTCTCCGTGACATGTTCCATCTTAAATGGCAACATAAGGATAACATAGCAAAATAAAATAAATGCACTGGGAATAGCTAATTTTTAACTTACTAAAACTAAAGTGAGACTAATAACATAACCCTGCTATGTTATCCGAGAATTGGTCCATAAACATTTGCCTAATGATGCAATTTCAATTTAACTTTTTTTTTAATTATTATTAGACAATCAGCCGAGCCGTTTCTTTGACTGAATTTCTAAAACGATTTTGAAAAGTAAAAAACTGTTGAGAATCATGTTAATTAGATTTTTGTAAAGATAAGTTGAACTGCTTCTTTGTCATTAATTTGAAAAAACAACTTGAAGACGTTATTAAAACTTTGCATAGTAATAAACACCTGAAAATTAAGCCTATAAAAAAGGACTTCAAATATTAAAATCAATTAAATTTTTAATTATTGACCACGCTCTTAGGACATACTCCGTGTATGTCCTAAGGGATTGTTCGAGTTCAAGGCTAGTTATTTTTTCATAAAATGTATCTTGTTTACTTTAATTTAAATTTTGTCATTACATAAATTTAAAAATCAACAAGAGTGACACTTTATTTAAAACTATATTCAAGTCAGTACCAACATTAAATAATTCTCCCCAGCAGTACCAACATAAAAAAACAAAATGTAACTATAATTTATATCTATGGCGCTTGTTTCAAAATATTTTGTTGCCCTAAGAGTGTCTTATTATTATTGTGTGTGTGGTTGTTTTTATATTTTATTAAAGATTTATTAAGCAAGGCGAATGTATATATGTATAAAAAACGTTTCGGCAATGTAACAATTGTCGTTATAAAAGAAATATTTGACCTGAGTTGAGAGGATGCACTCAGGTTAATAATAATGCACTTGTATTTATTTAATAAACATAATAAATATGTTAACAGTCGTAATTATATTTATTTTTATCAAAATGTCAATTGTAAAAATGTATATAAATTTGTTTAAAATAAATAATGTGGTCGGAGTTTAATGGTATTTTTGATAATTAATAAAAATACAAATTAAGATCAAATCCAATACAAGAGTGATACTTTAATTAAAACTATCTTCATTTCAGTACCAACATTAAAGAATTCTCCCCAGACCATCAGTACCAACATAATAAATAAAATGTAACTATAATTTATATCTATGGCGCTTGTTTCAATATTAAATAAAAATACAAATTAAGAAAATTTAAGTTTTGTTGTTATTTAGTTTGCTAAATAAATAAAATAATAGAATCTTCTATTAATTTCTAGGTCGTTATTTAATTAGTTAGTCAGTAAGATCTTTTTTACTTTCAAATTTGTTATTTAATTTGGTGCTCAGTAGAGTTCTTTTTTCTTGCCAGATATAAAATAGCGAGGACTCAAACCACTAAACCTTTCAATCGAATATATTGAAGTTATGTCACCAAATTTTTTTTTTAAATACTAAAAAACTGATTCAGTAAATTATGAATAAATTGTCCTAATACTATAAAAAAATGTTAGTTCTTAAACACTTTTTAATTTGATTCGAGTCTTGGCTAAACGTCAAAAATAAGTCAAACAAAAACCAATAGATGTCACCAGCTACAACGAACAAAATTTCGTTTCACAATTTCAACTTTTTTTTAAATTGTAGATATAAATAAATTTATTTGTTGTACAATTATTACTTATTTGTTAATTAACATTTTCATAACATCAATTATCATTTTCAAAGTCGCTTGACACTGATTAATCGCAGAGCAATTAAAATGGTGACAAAGCATTACGAAATAGAAATTCTTGGCACCTTCTATGGTTTTTGATACAATAGAATAAAAATTTTATATTTATATTTGAATGATAAACAAATAATTATATAATTTATAATAATAGTTGATAAGTTGTTAGCCCAGTTTACTATTTATTAATTTGAAACTTATTAACGCCATAAATTTTAAAGATTAATTTAGTAATACATTTCAATAAGTGTAAATATTCAATGTCAAATTAATTTTGTAATTTGTTATTAAATTTTGTTGAAGTTAGGGATAATGCAGTTGTAAAAGATTAGAGGCTTTGTAGCTGATTTATATATCTTATATATAAAATTCTTCTGTTTCTGTTTTTAATTCAAAACAATTGATATTTTATAAAAATAAATATAATTAAGTCTGTTAACATACCTATTATGTTTATTAAATAAATACAAGTGCATTATTATTACCTAAGCGCATCCTCTCAACTCAGGTCAAATATTTCTTTATAACGGCAATTGTTACATTGCCGAAACGTTTTTTATACATATACGAGGTGTGTTCAAAAAGTACCCGGAATTACTAATAATTAAATTTCGCGGGTCTGGAGTGTCTGATTGTCAAAATTTTTTTTTTATTGTGTTGGTATACATGCCCCTAAAGTATGATGAAATTTTCAGCTATATTCACTGTTTACTTTGTCTGTGGTAGTCGCTAAGGTTCGACGTGTTTTTCTGAGCTCGGCGATTTTTACAATGGAAGAATTGAAAAGTCAAAGAATTTGTATTAAATTTTGCGTAAAAAATGAAATAAAGTGTTGCAAAGTGCAAAAATTCACCAATATGGCTCCGTGTGACTTTTTCCTATTCCCAAAGTTGAAGAGACCCATGAAAGGACGGCGGTTTTCCTCGATTGAAGAAAATCGCTGAGAGTGCTCAAGGACATATCAAAAGTGAATATCAAGGGTGCTTCGAAAATTGGAAAAAACGCTGGCATAAGTGTATTATATCTGGGGGGGACTACTTTGAAGGGGACCACATTAATGTAGACGAATAAATAAATATTTTTTTGAAAAAACGAAAATTCCGGGTACTTTTTGAACAGACCTCGTATACACTTGCCTTTCAAAATAAATCGTTAATAAATATAAAAACAACCACACATACATAATAATAAAACATTCTTAGAGCAACAAAATTTTTGAAACAATCGCCATAGATATACATTATAGTTACATTTCGTTTTTTTATGTTGGTACTGCTGGGGAGAATTATCTAATGCTGGTACTGACATGAATATAGTTTTAACTAAAGTGTCACCATTATTGATTTTTAAATTTATGAAATGACAAAATTTTTGGAGTTTGTTAAGGAGAATTTTACGAAGTAGGTGATTATAAAAATATAGTAATATTGTAGAAATAAATAAAAAAATGCAGAAACTACATGTCATTGTTTGACATTGAAAATATTTTGACACGTGAGTACTGTCATTTGCCAGAAATTTCAATTCACTTATGAGCCTAGACAATATTAGAATATGATATATTCATGATTATGAATAAGTAAAATGTAATATCTACATTATTATTGCAGAAAAGCAGCTGAGAGTGCCAGAAATTAAAATAATATAAGATACAGATATGTTTACAAATAGATATGATGATGAAATTATATAATTTGATAGATTTTTTTTTCTACTTATGCATGTCGAATTTTGCCTTACTTTACTAAATATTTCACAATACAAAAAAAAATTTATTCAAATAATTATTTAGAAGTTTCATTGTATCAAAAATGTTTTAGTCATAGATAAACAAAAAATATTTATTTATACGTCTACAGGTATGAGTAAAAATATTGTATAACCCTTGACAATAAAATAAATTGAGCTATTGAAAATAATTTGTTCTAAATATGTGGAAACTGCTCCTAACCAGTTATTCGAATTTTGATAAATCATTTGGAATTTATTAAGGGAAATTTTTAAGATGTGAATGGCTTTTATTCTAAAGAACTTTAAATGGCTTTTACTTTAAAGAACATATATCGATATTTTTGTTTGATATAGTATAGTATAGTATAATTAAAGCGTTAAAGTGTGGAAATTGAAAATCATCATTCATATTGATGTATATACCTTTCGGTGTAAATAGTAATAATTAAAGAGTTAAAGTGTGGAAATTGAAAATCATCATTCATATTGATGTATATACCTTTCGGTGTAAATAGTAATAATTATTTTTAACTAAAAGGTAAGTATTAATATATTATATTCAAAAAATTGGAACTTTTAAATTGTAGACGTGGGTACAGGACAACGTCTGTCGGGACAGCTAGTATATATATATATATATATATATATAAATTTGTGTATTTGTATAATAAAGAAATAGTTCTGAAGCCCGTGTTGTTGTTTCCTTTGTAAAGTTTGCCAAAATTTCTAGGTTACATTAATAGAACACAATACTCTAACCTTCATTTGCGAAAGAAACAATATTATATTGCATGCGGACGAGGAAACCGACACATTTATTTTTGACTTTATAATATATATTGTAGCTATTTTGCTCATAGGCAGGTCCGTTGTATGCAAAAATCACAACATATTCACCTGCCCTTTCCTTCTTTGACACTTTCTACTTTCGCTTCTTTGTATCTTATATTATTTTAATTTCTGGCACATCTCAGCTGCTTTTTGGCAATAATAATTTCATTTCATTTACATGTCATTTTTTCTATTCATAATCATGAATTTATTCTAATATTGTCTAGACTCATAAGTAAATTGAAATTTTTGGCAGATGACAGTTTTCATTTGTTTTCAATGACAAGCAATGTCTCAAATATTTTCAATGTCAAACAATGACATGTCGTTTTTTGTAATTTTTTCCTTTTATTTCTATAATATTACTATATTTTCATAATCACATACATCATAAAAAAATCCCTTAAGAAACTTCAGAAAGATTTATCAAAATCCGAATAATCGTTTCGGAGAAGTATATTTACATACATCATTACAGAAGAATTTTATATATTATTATTCTTATAAAAATGAAGCTCAGTATTATGTTAGGTATGGTAAAACTCTAAAATGGCTGTACAAATTTGGCCAATCTTAGTTTTGAAAAATTCGTGCTAATCAGTAGATTGTCGGAAAGGTGAGATTTATTTCGAAATCGCGTAGAAACTTTACTTTTTTAATTTGAAATTTTTTGTAGAAGCGTATTTGAATAAAACAACGGACGGTGGCTAATACGTCAAGTGTCAAACGTTTTTGACAGATTATGTTTAGTTACATTTAATAGGATGTTTTTGATGAATTTCATTTAATTGTAGTAAGTAGATTCATTTGTAGTTTTATTTATGCACAGAAATATTATAAAATGCATCGCAAGTGTTGTTAGAAATTTAAAATATCAACTTTTTTGATAACTTTGAAATGACAATTTTTGGATTCTCTAGAAATTGTTCACAAATATGGTGAAACCATGTTTGCTGGGTCAACTAGTATATATATATATATATATACATTT